GCACCTGTTTGAATAGTACGCGGGCTTATTTGATAGCCCTGGCGGCGTCTTCCACGTTCCTGCTGTGCCCGCGCCCCTCAGCCAGCTGTCCCTGAAATTCTTCGACATTTCAGGTGCTGTCTACACTTCACTTCCTACGACGTCGTCTTTCGATCCGTGCAACCTCTCGCGGTTCGGTTCATGTTTGTTGCCACGTTGACCGAGTAGTATACAATTGTTCTGTTTGACGTTCCTCCGGTCCGGGGATCTTATTACCTCCTTGTTTTTCTGATACCCCTTTCCGTTTTTCCTTGCGCTCGGTGTCCGCCCCCTCTTTACTTTTTCGCGAGTGCAGTTCGCGCGTTAGTATCGGTTTGTAACCATGGCCTACCAACCGCCTGGTAATAATAATGGTGCTCAGTCACCAAACTACAACGACAGCGGTCATCGACTGGAAGACCTGCCCCAAGGCGCCACTGTAAGTCTACGACCGCGATGCTGGATTCGATTCTACTTCCGCCGCAGCTTGTAGCGACACGGATGGTTCTGGATGAGCTGACATTGCGGTTCGTTCTTAGTATGAAGAAGAAGCGTCCAGAGGACTGCTTTCCAACCAACAGGGCGGTCCTTTCGGTGGTCCTTTCGACGACCCTCATCAGCGTGGCACCTCGCCCGTTCGACCCACGTCGGGATACAGCTTGACGGAAACATATGCTCCGGACGCGGGCTTTCATGACCCTTACAGCACGACGGGTTCGGTTTACTCTGGCCAATCGGCAGAAAACCCCGCGGCTGCCTTTGGCGTCCCCGGTCGTGTAGCTTCTCCCTACGCTCGGAGTGAAACCTCCTCCACGGAAGCATGGCGCCAGCGCCAGGCTCCAGGAGGTGCCGGCGGCGGTGGTCTCAGACGTTACGCGACCAGAAAGGTCAAGCTGGTGCAGGGTTCCGTCCTCAGTGTCGACTACCCCGTTCCCAGTGCCATCCAGAACGCTATCCAAGCCAAGTATCGGAATGACCTGGAGGGTGGCAGCGAGGAGTTTACCCACATGCGATGTGAGTTGAAGTGCAGTCCATAAAGTGTCGTATGGGAGCTAATCTGTCCTCTCGCACCATTAGACACCGCTGCGACATGTGATCCCAATGACTTTACTTTGCACAATGGTTACAATCTGCGTCCCGCCATGTATAACAGACATACCGAGTTGTTGATTGCGGTTACCTACTATAACGAAGATAAGACTCTCACCTCTCGTACCTTGCATGGTGTGATGCAGAATATTCGCGACATTGTGAACCTCAAGAAGTCTGAGTTCTGGAACAAGGGTGGACCGGCCTGGCAGAAGATTGTGGTCGCCTTGGTCTTTGACGGTATCGATCCTTGTGATAAGGACACTTTGGATGTCCTCGCCACCATCGGTATCTATCAGGACGGTGTCATGAAGCGTGACGTCGACGGCAAGGAGACCGTAGCTCATATTGTAAGCTTCATTCGGTCACGACAGACGAGCGTTAGCTAACGGAAAATAGTTCGAATACACGACCCAATTGTCTGTGACACCGAACCAGCAACTTATCCGGCCCACTGATGATGGCCCGACCACCTTGCCCCCCGTGCAGATGATGTTCTGTTTGAAGCAGAAGAACAGCAAGAAGATTAACTCGCACAGATGGCTGTTCAACGCCTTTGGTCGTATTTTGAATCCGGAAGTTTGTATCCTTCTGGATGCCGGTACCAAGCCCGGCCAGAAGTCCCTCTTGGCGCTCTGGGAGGGCTTCTATAACGACAAGGATCTGGGAGGTGCTTGTGGTGAAATTCACGCAATGTTGGGTAAAGGCTGGAAAAACTTGATTAACCCCCTGGTCGCGGCACAGAACTTCGAGTACAAGATCAGTAATATTCTCGACAAACCCCTGGAGAGTTCATTCGGTTATGTCAGTGTGTTGCCTGGTGCTTTCTCTGCCTATCGTTTCCGTGCTATCATGGGTCGGCCTCTCGAGCAATATTTCCATGGTGATCACACACTTTCGAAGCAACTGGGTAAGAAGGGTATTGAGGGTATGAACATCTTCAAGAAGAACATGTTCTTGGCCGAAGATCGTATTCTCTGTTTCGAATTGGTCGCCAAGGCTGGCTCCAAATGGCACTTGTCGTATGTCAAGGCCTCCAAGGGTGAAACTGATGTCCCAGAAGGTGTTGCTGAATTCATTTCTCAACGTCGTCGTTGGTTGAACGGTTCTTTCGCCGCCGGTCTCTATTCGCTCATGCATTTCGGTCGGATGTACAAGAGTGGACACAACATCATCCGTATGTTCTTCTTGCACATTCAGATGTTGTACAACGTTTTCAACACTATCCTTACATGGTTCTCTCTGGCATCATACTGGTTGACCACTACCGTCATCATGGACTTGGTCGGAACGCCCAGTGAAAGCAACGGTAACAAGGGTTTCCCCTTCGGTAAAGATGCGACCCCAATTATCAACACGATTGTGAAATATATCTACCTCGGCTTCTTGCTCTTGCAGTTCATTCTCGCTCTCGGTAACCGTCCCAAGGGATCTCGCTTCTCGTACTTGACGTCCTTTGTTGTATTCGGTATCATTCAGATCTACGTTGTCGTCGACGCTCTGTACTTGGTCGTTCGTGCGTTCAGTGACAGTGATGCGATCGATTTCGTTACCGATAAGGGTGTCGGCGAGTTCCTTAAGTCATTCTTCTCGTCTTCCGGTGCCGGTATCATCATCATCGCCTTGGCTGCTACTTTCGGTCTCTACTTTGTCGCTTCCTTCATGTACCTGGACCCTTGGCACATGTTCACCTCGTTCCCCGCCTATATGTTCGTTCAGTCATCCTACATCAACGTCCTTAACGTGTACGCGTTCAGCAACTGGCACGATGTCTCGTGGGGTACCAAGGGTGCTGATAAAGCCGATGCACTCCCGTCTGCAACGACCACGAAGGAGGAGGGTGGCAAGGAAGCTGTCATTGAGGAAATCGATAAGCCCCAGGCTGATATTGACAGTCAATTTGAAGCCACGGTCAAGCGCGCTCTTACCCCCTACGTGCCCCCTGTGGAGAAGGATGAGAAGTCCTTGGATGATTCCTACAAGAGTTTCCGTACCCGTCTCGTGACGTTGTGGATCTTCAGTAATGCCTTTTTGGCGGTGTGCATTACCAGTGACGGTATGGACAAGTTTGGATTCACGGTACGTATAGTAATTGCCTTTTGCTTCCTTGGCCGAAACCATGGACTAACGTCTTTCCTTTTCTACAGAACACCGCTACCGACCGTACATCGCGTTTCTTCCAGGCTCTTCTGTGGTCGAACGCTGCTGTTGCACTTGTCCGTTTCATTGGTGCCTGTTGGTTCCTGGGTAAGACGGGTCTCTTGTGCTGCTTTGCTCGTCGGTAAAGAAGAGGCACGATTTGTAATGAAAAACTGGGTGTCTTGTTCCCTATGTGGATTACAGGGCCTGGAGGAGTTATTCTTTGGCACATTTTTGTCGCAATTTTGTATTCTACATACGATCCGTTCTTTGTGTTTCGATTACTCGAACTGTTCTCGTTTCGCTGTCATGGTTTGGTTTAAGCGGTCCAAATGGCCGCCGACACTTATGTTTTCTATAAAGTCTTAGCGGTTAGAATCAAATAGGGTGCATTGATGGCGCAACTTAACAAAAATAATAAATCGTGGACCTGAGGCTCTTAGGCTCCCAAAGTTCTCTAGAATCGGTTAGTTCCGTTATCCGAGGGCTTGGCGCATGGCGTCAGTTCATCAAATCGCTTCTCCGCCTTCGTGACTTTTGCGCCTCATGTGGATCGTTGCTCATTGTTGACTCTGGTCCTTTGTCGTCTCCGAGGGCCCTATTTACACCAGTTCTCCTCTCGCTGACGAACTCTCTGTCTCTATAACCTCTCCAAACGTCCCCGATCCACAAGCCTGTGGCGTTGATCCAACATGTTGAAGATATGGTCGATGGTCCGTTATGACTGCCATAAAAGCACCCCTGATCTGGACCCCCAATAACTAACCCAAAACCCGCACTAGAAACAACAACAGCAGCAAGCTGAAAATGCCGAAGGCGCCGCCGGCAAGAAGAAAAAGAAGGTCACCGCCGCCCAGCTGCGCGTCCAGCGGGGTACGTAAAAACCCCAACCCCGCCACCAGTGACACAGACTAACAAGAGGCAACCATGAAAACAGATCTGCAAGAACTCACCCTCGGAAGCACGATGAAAATGTCCTTCCCCAACCCTGACGACATCCTGAACTTCACCCTCACGATCGAACCCGACGAGGGCATGTATAAAGGCGGCGCGTTCCATTTCAGTTTCAACGTCAACCAGAACTTCCCGCATGACCCGCCCAAGGTCAAGTGTACGCAGAAGATCTATCATCCCAATATCGATCTCGAGGGAAATGTTTGTCTAAATATTCTGAGGGAGGATTGGAAGCCTGTGTTGAATTTGAATGCGGTTATTGTTGGCATGCAGGTTTGTTTCGCCCCCCCCAATTTTTTCTTTTTCTGGTCCTGTTTGTGAGGGTGGAGGTGGAGGTGGTGGTTTGGGGGAGCTGGGCATCTGGGGTTTGTGTGTTAACGTTGTCTCGTTAGTTCCTCTTCCTCGAGCCGAACGCTTCCGACCCCCTGAATAAGGAAGCGGCCGATGATCTCCGCCAGAACCGGGAGACGTTCAAGCGGAACGTCCGGACGTCGATGACGGGAGGTACCGTCCGGAGCGTGCAGTACGAGCGCGTGATGAAATGAGAGCCGCATCGCGCTTGCGTGGGATAGATCGATAGATCGATGGCGGCTAAGCATCAGTAGCCCTACAGGACTAGGGTTTGGAGTATCAACTCGGATATCACAATGGTTGATATGTTCGGGTCGGCATTCGGACATATGCATATGGGATTGGAGGTGCTTGCGCTTTTGCTTGAGACCTTTGCATTACATTATATTATGGATTAATTAGCGACTGGATAGATTCTTACGAAAGAAATGACTTGATTGGTTTTCCTTTCTGTAGTATCCCACAGCATACATAGGCAGTGTTAATTGACCTACTGGTCTGGTAATGGGTTGGTTAGATACTAATATGGATACACCCAGTACTCATGCCAAGCACAAGTACCAAAATCTACAAACTTACCAGGGGACACAAAACCAGTATATATACAACCCTATTCAAACAACTAGCCCATAGTAACTGCAAGCCTCAAATGAAATACTTCACATTCAATTCAACCTCACAAACTCACTCCCATAACATGTCCCCCAACCCAACCAATTAACCAACAACACCAGTCCCATTCCTTCTAGAGCATCTATAACGAATCACCGGCGAGAGAAACGGACCGAGAGGAAACAAGCATCATCGGGCTATTCTTGACAAATCCAGTCGAGCGAGGCTCATGCAATGGTCATGGTTCGAAGATTTACTCCTGGGCAGCGGCGCGCTCCTGCTCCAGACGGACGTAGTAGTTGTCACGGGCGCGGACGCGGGGAAGGTGGTAGCCTGTTTTTTTTCCCATGTTAGTTTGGGGGTCCTTTTCGAAGCACTCGGTGAATTGTGGTTGATACGTACCGTACCACCAGAGGTAGCCGAAGGTAGTACCGAAACCTGGAAATGTATATATTAGTATCTGCTTTCTCGATATAATTGTTTCGAAGTGGGATTGCGCGGTAATTGGATCCGCATTCGAGGCTCCGGTAGACCGGGTGGACGTTCTGAATCATATTGCATTGCATGGCCCGACACGGGGGATCATGGCTTACCGAAAGCGGTGCTCAGGTCAAGGACGAGGTTCCGGCGGAGCATCTGTGATTTTTCGTTAGTTTCTTGGTCGCCTTACAGGTGGAAGGTCTGGGGTAGGCCGAGGAGAAAGGTTGAAGGGTGGGAGGAACGTACGCCGGTGATGGGGGCGACGGCGGCCATTGTGAGGGATTGATGGTCTGACGCGATTTAGAATGCGCAGGTCTAGCGATTCAGCAGATATTGGAGTCTGCTGGGGTGCGTGTGGTGGTGGGAGCTGGAGGAGGGGAGAGGGAAGGATGGTGGTGATGTGATGTTGAAAGTCGAGGTTGAAGCTTTCCGTTCCGGGCGTAAGCGACCGCTTTGAGTGGCCTGACTGGTTGGCTGCCGTCCGGTTGTTTCCTTACGTCGTTTTTCTTTTTATTTGGTTTTTTTTCTCTTTATATAGTGGGGGTAATTTGGGGGATTGGGGTATGGAGATTCATGTGAGAGATTTTAATTTACGATATGAACATCTAATTTTACAATTCTTTTATTATTTATAGCTGAATTGAATGGAATCTCATGAGGGACTGGCTGTATCTGCCTCAGGCATGAGTGCTACCACGTGACCGCCCAGCAGACTTGCTGTTTGTCTCCGTCACTTCGGCCCTTCTCCACGACATCAACATAATCCGCCATGCTCGCCGCTGAGCCCAAGGTCAAACGTTCCTCCTCGTCGCTGCCGGAGCAGCTGAATGCCCCTGATGTCAAGCGCATAAAGCGCCCGTATCACCACCACCATCGCTTACAAACACCCGTGAAACCTGCGCTTCCGGAGCCCGCCATCCCCGATGACGCCTACGTCGACCACTTAATGAACCGCTCCATCGGGCAGACCCTACGAGAAACAGGATTTGATCTGGCCGATCCAGCGGCGCTGGAGAGTTTCCGCATTGCGACCGAAGAGTGTATGCTTTTAAGGTGTAACTGAAGGTGTTGTGAGGAAAGATATTGACTAGGCCTGTGCTCTTAGATCTGCTGAAATTCGCGTCATATGTGCGTCAGTCGATGCTCTCGTCTCGTCGCTCCCAACCCGTCCCCCATGATTTCGAGCATGCGTTGAAGAAACACCGTGTGCGCGTGGACGATCTCCTGCCTCATGTGAAAAATCTACCGAATGTCGAACCTGTTCCCTCGCTCCTGCCGAGCCCTCCGCCGGAAGAAGATGACTGCTTTAAAACTTTACCGTCCCTGGGTCCGCAACTAAGTGGCGAAGATGACCGTGCGAGAAGCGCATACATCCCGAAGCATTTCCCCGAATTCCCTAGTAAACACACCTACCGACATACCCCCGTATTCACGGAGCGCGAACAAGACCCGCGGAAGATCCGGGAGCGGGCAACGGAGGATGGTCGACATGGGGAGGAGGCCTTGCGCAAGCTTGCACGCGCAGCGTTCAAGGATAACCACCTTGGTTCGTCGGGTCGGGATAAGAAGCCGTGGGGTCGGAGGACAGAGACGATGGATAGTATGTTTGAGAAGACGATTAAAGGTATCGCGAAGAAGTTGCAGAAGAACACAACGACTCCAGGTGCTGCCGCCCCTATGGAGATTGACTCTGGCGCGGTCGACCCGGATGTGAAGGCTCGGAACAAGGTGTCGTTGAGCATAGAACTGCCGCCCATCATCAACTGCGAGAGAGACTTTTGGCGTCGGACGACGACTGGGAATCGGAGACCCGAGGAGAGGCCGCCGGGCAATAAAGAAGCTCCGGACATCTCACGAGTGGATAGCTGGGTGAGCACATGAGCGATGGGACCAGGACAATAAATCGGAATGGCGTCGGGCGTTTGACTTTTGTTTTATAGCCGTATTCGAGAAGATACCCATGCAGCAGAATTTAATATAAACATCGAGCAGATTATAAGCAGCGATCAGCCTGTCAGCGAGAACCAGTAGAACGAACGCCAATCAACACCGTAGCTATGCATGTAAGATAGACGGTCCTCCTTCATTTGCTGTCCACGTTCGAGCTGCTTTCTGCAGCCTTGCGCTTGGCCTCTTCCTCCAATCTGATCGGCTCCCACGATGTCGTCTCCACCGTCAACCCATTGGCACACCTAAGACCACCGTCAGCGACAGCATAACCGAAAACAAGGCGAGCCAGGCGTACCGTCTGAACAACCGCACGACCGGCTTGCAGACCACCACTCCGGGCGCAGGGATCCCATCCTGCGGCGGATTACACGAGTACTGCACCATCTCCATGAGTTTGCATTTTTCCAACTCGACGGGACCGCCCTTGCGACGTCGCTCTTGGAAGTTTTTGCGCACGATGCTGACATGGTCAGGGAGAGCTTCGGCGGAGAAGATCGGGACGAGAGGGGCCATTGTTGAATTTCTTCGTATTTATATGGCGACCCAGTAGATTAATTGAGTGGATTGGATTGAGGAGGGGGAATTGTGGTTTGTGGCTTTGGGGCGTTGGAGTGTAGTTAATTCGAGTTACTTCGGCGGTGGTTTTGGGACGTTGAATTCATCATGGGCGGGAACGAGTCGGATCCGATGCCGATGGGTTGCATATCGTTCATCTTCCATCTTCAAGTTCTTATATCACTCTCTCTCAGTGGTGGGTGAGACGCTCACCATCACGTATATTTGGTATTCACTACGCTTGGTAGACGACTACAGATTAATTGTTAAAGTCATAACATGTCACAGCATTCATGATCATCCGGATGGGCCGTGATCATGGCCGCGAGCTTTGGGGAGAAATTGCTGGCGGAGGTGCATGAGGAGAGTTTGGATGAGGTTCGTATATTTATTTATACTTCTCTTGCCTGATATATACAGCTTGAGGCCTTGGTTTTACTGTTCAGCTGAATGATTATGTGTTGAATTGATGCTTATACTATGACAGCTCCTGCATGACTTGAGTTGCCTCTATGAGAGCAGCAATAGCACCCCGAGACAGCGCCTCGGAATCCAAGCACTTGATGACCTGCTGCGAGTCTTTATGCCACTTCCTGCTGTTACTCCTTGGACACAAGTGCAACATCAACCCCTGGAGTCGACCATTCCTGCTGACCAAGAGGAGCAAGAGCAACTCTATCACGAAGGGCCACCCGTCCAGTCGGAGCCCGAACATGATCTAAACATTTATGCCAGAGAGCAGACCTTCCCACCAGCCCGTATTAAAAGCACGGACCCAGTCGTGGAGATTTCGAGCACATCATCTGGTGCCGGCAAAACCCAGACCCTGTATTACTTGACTGCCATTGCGATCCTACCGGTTGAGTTTCATGGAGTCAAGCTCGGACGGGGATCTGCAGTAGTCTTCATCGACTCGGATGGCCGCTTTGACGCCGAGCGACTTTTGACCGTGGCCCGTGGAATTGTGCACAAGAAATTCAAGACTCAGAATGAGAACGCAGAGGCGACGACCACAGAAGGCGCGCCTGTGTATACTGAGGAAGCCCTCAACGCCCTGCTGGTGACCTCCCTGCAACATGTCCACGTCTTCCGCCCTCAGTCTTCCGCCGCTCTGCTCTCTACTCTCCAGTCCATGAACACCTATCTGTTCGACCTGACGCGACATTTTTCATCCAGTCGCCGGCTACACGCCATCGTCATCGACAGTGCAAGCGCCTTCTTCTGGCCGGACAAACTACACGACGAAGTTGCCCGCACGGAGGACATCGGACGTCCCTATGAAGAGATCGAGAGCGAACGGCGCGACAAGAAAAGCTTTTATCTTTTCGACATGTATGCGGATCTTGTCGCGGAATTGAAACGCCTGCAACGACTGTTTAGCTGTGCAGTCGTTTACACCACCATTGCGTGGAGTGGGAGGTCTATGCCTGGTCAATTCTCTACGTCCCGGCCTTCTGGACCCTTTTCTCTATTTGATCCCTCGGATGTCCCTGTCTCGAGAACTCCGTCGTTCCGGTCTTCGCTTCCGGGGCCTTGGGGAGTGTTTCCAACTTTACGACTTGTTGTTCAGCGGGATGTGGTTCGGTCTTTTTTGCCTGCGATGACGGTGCATGAGGCGCAGCGAGTGGCTCCGATGCGGCACGAGGTTGTCTTGAAAGGGCGGTTTGTCGGATGGGTGAACGGCTGGGGCCGCGAGGACTGGCCACGGAGAGTGGTGGAGGGATTGGACGAGATGGATGGAGGGATGTTTGGGTTCTCTGTTGGGACGGACGGAGTGAACTTCGATTGAGACTTATGTGCTGTCGATCCGACTGGTATCTTAAGTATGATATGTGTACAGGAGACATATTCTATACAACAGACATCCGCATCTACCATCTATGTCCTGAATCAACTAAACAACTTCGCAATAGCCTCGACGGTGGTGTTTCCTCCGCTAAACACGATCCCAATATCCCAACCCTCCTCGCCACCCTCCTTCTCCACGATCCTCCGAAACTCCTCGTTGAACAAACAAACCGCCAAACCCACCACCGCACTTGGCTCCACCACCACCTTCATCCTCTCCAACACCAACCTCATCGCCGCCTTAATCTGCTCCTCCGTAACCGCAAACACGCCCTCCACCTTCTTCTTATCCGAGATAACCGCCCAATTCAACAGCCCAACGCGTCCGTAACCCATCCCCAATAGTCAACGACTTGACAGCGGCCACTCGCTCCCCTGCTTCCAACCCTCGTCGACAATCATCCGCCCCCTCAAAACTCGGCTCGGCCCCAAAAACCTTCGTCTTCTTATCCGAGAAGAAAGTCGCCACACCGGAATTCAACCCCCCACCACCAATAGGCGTAATCACCGCATCCAAACTCGGCCCAGACGAACCATGAGCACTCACCTGCGGATTCTGCGCCAGCAGTTCCAGGTACTGCTCTTCGATTTCGAGACCTGTCGTGCCCTGGCCGCAGATAATGTTGAAGTCGTCATAGGGCGGGATTAGGATGGCGCCCGTTTGGCTCTGGACCTCGGCGACGACGGCTTCACGCTCAGTGCTTGTCGACCCGCTGAAGACGATTTCCTTGGCGTAGGCTCTTGTCCCTGCGATCTTGGAGGTGGTGCTGATCCGGGGCATGACGATGTAGGAGGGGATGTTGAGCGTGAAGGATGCTAGGGCTAGGGCTTGCGCGTGGTTTCCTGTCTGTTGTTAGTTTCTGCTCAATCGATGATCCGAACTCATGTAGTCGATCAATCGATCAATAAAGGGACCAAAGATAAAGAATAAAACAAAGAACATAACCAAATCGAAAGAAAAGAAAGAGAAGAAGAAGAGAAGAGATATACCAGAACTATGCGTAACAACCCCCCTCCTCCGCACCTCCTCTTCACCCCTCTCCTCAATCAACCTCAGCAAAGCATGAAACGCGCCCCGGGCCTTGAAAGCGCCAATGCGCTGCAGATTCTCGCATTTGAAGAAGAATCGGATGGTCGGGTTCGCCGGTGTCTGTCCCTCGTAGGGCGTTCCCTTCAAGGCATCTGGGGTTTGCGGCGTGGAGGCTATTCCGTTGAGGGTTTTGTTAGTTAGCAGTGGCGTGCGGTGGATGTATGGTTTTATGAGGGTGTGGGCGGCATGCACTTTAGAGGGGGTTAGGGACTGGGCGAGGGATTGGGGGTCCATGGTTTCTTTTCTTGGGTGGTTTTCTGGGGGATTGGGGTAGAGAAGGTGTGTTTATTGGGGAGGGTATGAGGGGATGACTCCATTTATATATTGGACGTGGTGGGGTTGAGAATGAGGGGAGAGCTTATGTGGTTAGCTTATCGGTTGATTGATAAGGCGAAGGTTATTACCGGATGTTTCATGAGTATACATATACATAAGTACGAGAATGAGGTTGGCATATACAGCCATGTGGCACAGCACTGTGGCTCAGTTGTTTTTTTCCACTTTATGATATGACGAGAAGACGAAGATGAGAACAACAAGAGTTCATACACGTGTTATGCCTTGCAGCCACAGAGGCTGTGCACGCTTGGATATTGGATGGGCGGGCTGAAAAGCAAATAGTGCCCAAGCCTCAGAATCAGGGTATATTAGGAGCGATCGCTTCCTTCTCTCGTCGGATCCAGTGCAAAATCTACCTACTTAGTCTCCAGGCGGTCGCAATTTGCACATAGATGCTGCAGAGCGAACCCTACCTTCTCTAATCATATTCGCTACTTCTCAAGAATGGAACAGTCCCCAAAGCTCCTTTCAAATGAGATACGGCTGTTAAACCTCCTGCCCGGCAAGTGGTTCGACCCGATCCACTGTACATGGCAGATCGTCTCACTCAATGGAAATCCCAAATACAAGGCCCTATCGTATGTATGGGGCCGGTCGAAACATTCGCAACCGATCTACTTGAACGGTTCCCCGATACATATAACTAAGCATCTCCGACGTGCTCTACAGCAGCTACGCAGTGGCAGTGAGGCTGTCTGCCTGTGGGTTGACGCTGTCTGCATAAATCAATCGGACGATGAAGAGAAGACGGAACAAGTAAAGATGATGGGCAAGATCTACGCTCAAAGCCAAGAGGTGGTTGTTTATCTGGGGGATGCCTTCGCTCCGAGCTTTTCCCAATCCTTTAACACCCCTTCAGACACGAGAGACGCCGTATCACATACAATGACACCCCGCGAATATTATTCTATGTCGGTTTCCAACGAAATGGATACGGGCCTCGTCTGGCGAAGGCCTTTGAGCCATAAGGATGGGAGCTATCTCCTCTGTTTCATTCAACTTCTAGCAGATGGGGTTGATATGGACAGATTTATAGCGGGTACTGATCAAGGCAGCTTAGACGACGTGATGGAAGCGTTAAGACTTTTTCTTTCCGCAGTTCCTTGGTGGAAAAGGGTCTGGGTCATCCAAGAGGTAGTCATCCCCAGCAAAATAATGATCTTGTATGGCTCTATGATCGCTCCATGGGAGACATTTGTCAAGGCTGCGAACCGCGTGCATGAAAATGCTGGGAAGGTGATCCCCTCACTCACGCCAAGCGATGTGAAGTTTCTCGTTGAATTCTCTCGACGAATCCGCGGCATTGAGTCCATCCGAAACCGATGGCAGAGTCCCGAGCAAATAACATTGGTACAGCTTCTGCGCCAATTCAGCGGCAGGAAGGCAACAGACCCCAGAGATAAGGTCTACGCTCTACTTGGTCTTGCCAAGGACAAACCCTCGGTTGAGCCTAACTATGCCGCTGCAGAGCTGGATGTCTTAGCTGATACGACACTGGATATCATATCCAGATCGGGGAGCCTCGATGTGTGGGCGGGGGATTTCACAATGAAGGATAACCACGCAATTCCCTCGTGGATTCCTGATTGGAGTTCCCCTCCGGACACCTTCATACAAAGCCGGATTGAGAATGTGAAACATTACAATGCCTGCAAAAATTCCCCAGTATATGTGCAATTGCAATCATCGAAGGAGTTCAGCACTGTCTATGAATACATCACCCGGATTGACAGCAAACAAGAAGAGGGAGACAAACCGGATGATGTAATCAGGAACTGGATTCAAACTCACTCGCCTTCGTTCACTTCTGCACCGTGGGCTGACCCGCTGCGTGCATACCAGAACGGCCATATTGGCCGTGAGCAGGGCCTTGAAGTAATTGAAGCGTACTACAATACTCGAGGCGAAACCGGGTTTTTGCGACACCATGGAAAAGGGGTCGTCTCCTTGCCAGGTTTGCTACTAGACTCAGTCTTGATAGTTGGGGAAACGATGTGGTCTGACACAGCACTGATTTCGACACTCAACGCTTGGCATGAGATGATCGCCAAATCTACGATCACTTGGGAAGACTTCGAGAGCACTATATGCGCTGACCTAGTTTCTAATACTGTAGCTGGTCAATGTCAACGACTGTCTCCGCGAGACAGAGATCTTATCCGAACATGGTTGGCGAAGGAAATCTCACACTTTAGCGTTCCAGGTAACACCTCACTAGGTCGCTCTCTAGATACCCTTGGTCTCGATGTGTCGGGTCTAGATGCACCTGGTCTAGGTGCCCAGGAGTCATATAGCATTCGCAATTCTATCATGCAAGCCACCTACCGTCGAAAGTTTTTTGTTACACTTGAAGGAAGAATTGGCCTATGTCCTGCCGGTACAAAGAGACATGACCCTGTTTGCATATTCCCAGGAGGTAGAACGCCATTCATTCTCCGACGTCGTCCCACTGAGGACATAAGGGCGAGAGAGAAACGACGTTGGTACCCCTGTATTCAACTGCCTTCACCAGCGTACGAGCTCCTTGGGGATTGTTATGTTCATAAACTGATGGACGGCGAAGCCATGCATATCTGGGAGGACCTTGGTCCCAGCCACAACCAATTGAAAATCGAGTCCCATGGGAGGCCGAACGCTCATGTCAGCGTTTATCAGGAGATACACGAAGACTTGCAACTGGCTAGTATACTGTGGAAGGAACTGACTGACGATTGGTGCGGAGGGGCAAAAAATGGACTAATGCGCACTCGATGCTCTGGGATGCATTCAAAGGGCGCAGGTCCATGCTTGACGCTGACCTTTCACATAGATGGGATATCGCCAGTCGAGATTATGAAAGACTGGCCCGGAGCTGGGAATATGTTAAGAAGAAATGCGAGGAAACCTGGATGGCGTGGTCGAAAATGTTTGATTACGACGAACGTTCTCTCTGGCGAGTTCCATTCGGAGAATGGTCCAACAACCTGCAGGCTTCCATTTCTGGCATGCGGGAATGGCAGAGTAGTAGGGTGCGTTCGCAAGGCTCTTTGCAAGCCTATATGCAGCTGCTTCCTATGGGATCCCCTAACCCAAGGGGGCTAGCTGAACGCTGCGAAAAAGCGGTTAGAATTGCAGAAAGAGGCTTACGCTTCGAGGAGATACCCTTGGAGAGCAGTGTTCTTATTGAGACAGAGAAGGTACGAAGGAGATTGGCCCTGGAGATCCTAGGCCCTATGGCGGACAAGGTGGCCATGGTTGTCCTGGTTTGACCGGGATCCCACTCTTCTTCTCGGCTGATATGTTGCTAGAGGTCTCTCTTGTGCATGTGTCGTGCCTTGCAACTGCCACCTGTACGAAAAGGGCAGTGGAATGGCCCATTGAGTGATATTATAGTATTAGAAAGCTGTTATTCACTTTTCCCCCAGATCTCCCGGTCCTCAACTCTATATGGAAGGCCATACGAAGGCTGAATTAGCGGCCTGCGCAAGGCACACGATCAAAACATTGACACCGCGCCCAGACTCCGGGGTTAATCAGACCCTTACTTGGGTGGAATGTTATTGTGGGGGTAATGGAGTGCCAAGAGGCCCCGGTGGTTGGGGTTCTCTTCCCCAGTCAATCAATGACGAGTTTTAAAGTGACGATCTGCATCTGAAGCCCTCGGCTGTTTTGGCCCCGATCGGGGATTTCTGCATTGACTCCTCTTCCACCGATTATCTTTTCAACGTCCCTCCTGCGGCACATTGAGACCTGACAACTTGTCTTCAAGGCCTTCTGGTGGTGACCGTTATAGCTTCTATCCTCACGCTGTTGCAGAAATGAGTGACTACTACTCCAGCCCGCCCGCTGGGTTCACTCTTCGGAGAAACGGCACCTGTGCCGCAAATGAGAAGGAATGCGCCAACCCGTGGGGTCCCTGGCATGATTGTTGTCCTGGGGACACTTATTGCCCATCGGAAAGGAGTGATAATGATCGAAACGTCTGTTGTCGGACCAAGTCAGGGTGCAAAGCCTTAATTGAACAAGATCCGCACTGCGCCAACAATGCGACCTGGGATCTGTATAACAACGATGGCGATTACTTTTGCTGTCTGCAGGGGAAGCGGGGCTTCGTCCAAACCTTTTCTGAAGGTGGAGCAGGCATCGCGTGCGCAGACCCGGACAGTGGGGAACTGGATAATCCCTCGCAAAGCTTACTCAATCTCGTTGCCAGAGGTAAGCGTCAACAGGAACACAATGACATTGAAGCATGAAGAGCTAATGCCCCATATCAAGGCACTGCATCCGCATCAGCATCGCCTTCAGCATCACTCTCCACGTCTGCCACGCCAACCGAAACAAACATAGAGACCCCGTCCCCCACAGAATCCAAGTCTGATCCATCATCTAACCATGTCGGTGCCATTGCCGGCGGCGTCGTTGGCGGCTGTGCTGGCGTTGCACTTATAGTTGCACTGGTATGGTTCTTGCTGCGTCGACGACGACGACGACGACGACGACAGAACCAGGTCACTCCTGTAATAAGTCCCAATGCTAGCACACCGGCTGCAGAGCTGAAAGGTAGATCTATAGCGGAGCTTGATCATAAACCTATCTTCTCAGAGCTACCCGGCGGTTCCAATACCATGGCCCACGAGCTGCCGGTCGATACACGTTCATAGGAGCAGTCGCGGCGATTGCACGTCTATTCAATATGAAATCTTCATCAACGCAGGAGGATGGTATGATATTAGAGTATCTTTTGTCTTATACCCCATAAACAAAATATTACTGTCCATCCTAACGCGAATTTGTCTTGTATATAACTTTTACTGCGGTCAGCGGCTTTGCATTCAACTTTAGCATCTGTGATCATCTTGTGCTAATTGGGCATTGGTAGCGAAATTAAATGCTACAGACGACCTAATTAGACCCATTGTTCTTCCGGATAAAGAGTTCGAGGTACACTTTGATTACTCATACTCGGTACTATTCCGGATATCAATTAAATAATATACATCTAATCCACGAGCCGGTTCAGTCTCGGCCATGCGGGTCTAACATGCAACAGGCAGGCCACATTTAGTTGCCAGATACTCACAGCGGCACCCGAGTGCCATGCTTCTGCGTCCACCAAGGCGAGCGATCAGAGATAGGATTCGCAGGTACATTGACGGTCATCTTCCGCGGCGGGGACTTCCTACTCCGACGAGCTCGTGTAGCCGTGCGCTTCTTCAGATCGAGGTGTCCGTTGACACATTCCTTGTCACCCCATGCCGCATCAGCAGCAGCTTCCCACATCGCGGCGACGTCTACGATCATCTCTGGCTCGTAGAAAAGGCGGCAATCGGCCTTCTCATAGACGAACTGCGACGGAAGCCCGTCCTCCAGGTTCTCGGGGAGGATATTGTCGCGCACGTTGACGGAGGTATCCGTGGAGCGGTTCGTGGGCAGCTCGCTCAGCTCCGTGAGCGCAGACCAGTTCGCCGCGTGTTCCTGACCGGGTGTAGCGGATTGGATAGCCAACTGCGCGAGCGAGTAAATCTAGGAGAATGCGAAATTGTTGGACCCCTTGATCCCGCCGATTCCCTGCATCGGGTCCGAGGACGGCCGACCGCCGATGGCAATGCTCTTGACGCCGCCCTGGAGACGCATGAACTCGGAGAAGAGCGTGCACGTCGAGGCGCAGTAGCCGTCATACAGGATGATGATGTCTTCGGCGGCAAAGGGCTGCGTGAAGTTCCGGCGCGTACCGTACCCCGTGATCTCCATGCCCATACCAAATGTCTGGTTGACGGTGGTGAGCGGGTCGTCCAGGTCCCAGCGGATGATGCTCGTGTACTGGTCGCCGTTGTATTCGTGGGGCCCGAACTTCTCCTCGACAGAGGTGAAGTGCTTGTTCTGGAGGTTGAGGTCGTAGCGGTAGTTCGGGGGCGATTCGAACATCTGGATCTGGTCGGCGGTGGCGGTGTCCGGGTTGTAGTCCTCGGGGAGGACGGCGGCGAATTGCTCAGCCATGGCGGCGAGGGCTTCCGTGTAGCGGAAGCGTGTGTACCCGTCTTGCACGATGCTGGGGAATAGCTGGCGGAAGGTGTCGTAGCCTTGCAGGATGTAGCCGCCTCCGTTGCCGGAGACGTCGATGACGAGCTTGGTCTTCCCGGAGGCTTTGGCGTGGCGCAGGAATTTCTCGAGCACGGCTTGGAACTCGGCGGGCGTGCTGGGCTCGAACGATAGCATGCTCAGCACGGCGACTTCAGAGTTCCGGTCTGAGTCGAGGAAGTAGCCCGAGATGACGTTGTCCGAGCTAATGACTTCGGGGTCTGGGTAGCCGGGCGCTGGAGTAGCGGTGGCCGCTGCTGGCGAGGACGTTGCTGACGCTGCGGACTCCGTGCTGGATGGTCCTGTGCAGAACTTTTGGTACATGCTTGGTCCGTCAGTCACTCCCGTCAGATCGGCTTTGATGTTGGCGGTGGTTCGGTAGGATCTGCTCGTTCCGTTGGCGAACTCGATCATCGTTGTATTGCCTGGGTAGATGTAGCCATAGCGGGCACTTCCGGAGAAGTATCCATCGAAGCCCGGGGTGCTTGCTGCGAAGGGCTTCGAGAAGAAAAGTGAGTTGTAGAGTGCGTCGGGATCATTCAGACTGCCCAGCTGGGACCAATCCTCGAGGAACTTCACCGCGTCTTGTCCATTGATTAACTTCACGGGCGAGGGATCGAGTCCATTCTCGACCTTTCCGACAATATCGGCTGGTGAAGTTAGTGCTGTTGCTTACAGGGCTTCTGCTGGCTCAAGGGGAGGCATCTTACTGTGCACATAGATCTGAGGAGTCTCCTTGCCGTCTAAACTGACGGAAACCAGACCAACGTTGCGGTGGAACGTCAGTACCTTGGTCAGTAGATCGGGGAAGAAACGGAAGTGTCCGTCATGGGCGAGGTTGAATGCCTTGAAGAGATCGGCCTGGAAGTCATATTCTCCGGCATATGCGTCGGACTTGATGTTGTCGTACACCTTGTTCAGTTCGGCCCAGATATCCGCCGCCGGTTCTAGATAAGCCGGGGGCGGATCTTTGATATACGAAGTATCTAATGCGTAATGTTAGCAATCCTTGGTTATAGTACACAAACGATAGAATGGATAAAGTTAACCTACCAGACTGCCACTCCACATACGGGAAAATCGACTCCATCAACTGAAGAGCCTGCGCCTTGCCGAGAGGGACAGACTTCAAGCAAGCCAGAGCAAGCTCACCATCACGACCGGGGTAGCTGCAACACCATGCAAATCAGTATAAGTGTTCCTGCAGAATGCACACGAAACGCACCTGACGGCGAAGCCGCTAAAGTCCGAGCCGCCCTGCTGCTGATCTGTGCACAAGCAGTGCCATTTGTGGCAGTCTGTCTCCTAAAGTCTCCTGCGACTGCCCCTGCGGCCAGGGAGCCAACGAGAACAAGGTTCTGCAGCTGCATATCGAGATCCGAGGAAACAACTTGACACACACGCCTACTTGTCTCTGACCCTGTCGCCAAAATGGCCAGAATTCCACTTATTTATGCCCATTGACTGCGTGGGGATCACCCCGGTGGCCCGTCGGTCGTCCGCGGCGGGCTAAGACAGTAATTAAACTAGTTTGCTGATAAGCCCTGCTTATGGCCCCATTTTGGTTCGCCATCTCCACTTTCGCGGGGGTCTGCTCCGATCAAGCTCATCCTGGAAGGTGGTTTGCGTCGGTTGAGGATACTGGAGGTCCAATTGTTCTCTAAACTCCGGTTCTAGCCTTGGGAGATGGCGAGATTGAACGGTTCTCCTGTCAGGTACCTTGGGGAAATTGGGGTATAACTGGAATTTATATTGACGGCCTTTCCCGCTATCGGACAGGGGCTAATCTGCATCCGGCGCTAGTTTACTAGACCGTTATCCCCACTGTGTGATGGGTAGTTATTCTTCGCTTTATCTGAGCGTCTTAAGACTACTTATCGGCTGCAGGTTTCCGAGGCATAATTGACTATGCATTTATGGAATGCATAAAACCTGCGATACGTATCTTTAATATCTGTGACTAGTATACCATACCTGTAGGTACCTTCTCATGAATTGAACTCTTGATAAGAATGCAACAATAGAAACATGGATATTCGATTTTAAGTAATATCCCTGTTAGAGCCAAGGATGCAAGACAAAATCCCGTCGTGAAACGAACTACACCTGAGATAAAGTAGCATTAATCCAATCTGTTATAGGCCCAGCTCACTGCATCGTGCAGCTATATATATGGGGTCCATAATTAAATCATGCAGCTTATAATTATGATTTGCATTGGTGACTAAGACATTGATAGCAAGTCTTCATAGTATCCTTGCGCGGCCCTGATGATCTACTAATGCTAGTCTGTTAAGGTGGATACCATGTAATATTCGACAGGGTCAGTATTTGCTTACCTTATCTCGTTATATCCTGGTTGTTGCAAATTATAAATCTAGCTATCTGTCAATAAATATTCCCGGTCATATTTAATGTATGCAGCTTTCGATTCTACTATGTAACTCAGCGTAGGACTTTAAACTACATGGTAGATACCTCTAGCATTGGCAATGGGTTCCCAAATTCCAGGCCTCAAATTTGGCTACGAACTGGTGTCCAGTACGTGATGAAAATGTCTTCCTTTGTTGTATAACTATATGCTAACGATGAAATACTTCCTTGATGTCCCATGATGCATCGCAAATCTAAGATCTATTATAATTGGAAGCGATGTATGAAGTCTCTATCTGGTAATATCAAGTCAAAGTGGGCCCAGGGCTCTCCGGGTCAGCAGCAGCGAACGCTTCAGCACGATTCGCACTAGGTGGATATATCACGACGCGATTAATGTTCTCCTTTATCGGTTTAGCCACGGATGCTTTGAACCTAACCGTGCGCTCCCAACCCTCAGTGACAACTGCTCCCCATGGCCCCAGATCAAGGCACGTTCCATAAGTAGGTTGAGAGTAGGGTTTCACCGCAACATTCAGCAGATCGGCAGCGGCATTGTGTCCAGCAAAGCGCCCGAGGCGCATGGCATGCTGACAGGACATCATTGCATAGTGGCCGTTGTCATCTGTCTCAGCCAAGGCTGCATCGCCTGCGACGAATATATCCTTCGCGGATGGGACGCGCAGGTCTGCATCGACGTGCAGACGACCGAGTTTGTCTTTCGCACCTGGTATTTGTTGGGTCAACAGGGTAGCTTCTAGTCCGGCCGTCCAGAGAACAGTGAGAGATTCGATGCGCTCGCCGCTGGTAGTCACCACGCCTTTATCGTCCACCGACATAACTGCCGCCCCAAGCTTCGTTTCTACCCCTTGCTCTGCGAGAGCTTGGACAATGACTGGCCGTGGATTGGCTCCCAGTTCGGGCCCAATTTCCGTAGCCTGTTCGATAATGACGACGCGCACCTCCGCCTCCTGGCCGAGAATAGAACGTAACCGGCTGGGAAGCTCAGCTGCGATCTCAATACCCGTGAAGCCACCTCCTCCAATGACAACGGTATTGCGAGCCAGGCTAGGAGGACGGGAGGCCAGACTGTGCAGATGGGCCTCAAAATCTGCCGCTTCGCCAATCTGGTCGATGCTGAATGAGTGCTCACGAAGCCCCGGGATATTTGGACGTCTCAAGTGGCTGCCGGCTGCCAGCACGAGCCGGTCGTAGGAAAGGGTTGAGCACACTCCAGCCCGCTCCACAATCTTCACTAGGCGTTCCGGAACGCAGATTGTCTCGACGGTGCCTTTGACAAACTGGATACCTGTGACACGGAATAGATCCTCAAGTGGAGCCCTCATACTTTTTGCGTCAGGTTCGTACAATCGTGGACGTATGACTAGTGTTGGCTCTGGCGATACGACAGTCACTTCAATACCGGCAGCTTTCCCCCCGTTGAGGTCTATCAACCGCATGGCAGCGAGGGCGCTCCACATTCCGGCAAAGCCTGTTCCGATAACCACTATTCTCTGCATCTTGAGTTCTTCGTTGTCTTGATTAAAAACTTGGCAGGGGAGAGCTAGTATTATGATATCAAGATATATCGCACTTCGAGGGACTGTTGGCGTTGTGCTGGGGAGTGAAATTTGGCCATGGCCATCGAGGCCCTTAAATAGGCCTGCAAAGTCACAGTCCGATGCAGACACTGAGCAAGAATGTAAGACTCGGCTAGTCCGGCATTTTGCGACAGCTTTTCGGATAGGCTATTAGAGTAGGCTCGGGTCCGGGAAACCGAGTGGAGTCGCGATATGGATAGGCTGGCCCCATCTAAACGCAAGACTCCGGGCTAATATACGGCATACTATCAGCCCCTTTGGGTATCCAATTACAGTATGCTACCATAATTGTAATGAATTTATTAAAGGTTTAGACAAATGTGCTGTGTACTAGTCTACTTCAGATGATTTCCAGGATCTTTACTATTCAAAAACTGGTCTCGGGTGCACACATAGGAGTTGATAATAGCATAGAATGTGGGATGCAGAATGTAGTTCTTACAGTACCAGAAGGATCTCGCCCGTGGATAAAATAGGCTCTCGGAATGAGACGTGGGTAAGGCTATGGGATGATAGGCACTTGCCTCATATCAAGATAGTTCCACTATACTAACCCAAACACAATAAGATGTCACGGCTTTTCTACAGAAGCTTAGGTAGCGAGCGTATATTCAAGCTAGAAAGAAAAGCAACATCTCACTTTTACACATAATAATTGGACCTATTCTCAAGTATGGTCGTACTTCATATGCCGACCTAGGTAAATCTGACTCACAAGCATTGATAGTCAAGGAAAGTAAGTTTCCTTTGGAAGATAAAGTAGTTATGAACTCGACAACATGCTGCCGCCCCATCTAAATCGTTAGAATCAACTTCCCACGTCCAGAATACCGCCCATTAGCATGATCGTACGCCTCCTGTACTTTTGAAAAGGAATAAGCCTCAACGACGAAAGACTGCACCGCGCCCAGATCCACAAGTTCGGCGATATAATGCAAGGCCTTGCTACTGCCTTTGACAATGAAGAACAAAGCACGAACACCATCCTTGCGTATTCCGCGCTTTTCATGCTCTTCGACAAAGTTAAAACTCGCTGAATCGACAGAGACCAACACCCCCGTCTCTTTCACATAGTCCCAACATTTGGCCAATACCTCACCCCCAACCACATCAATAATGACATCAAAAACCCCTCGGTAGCTTTCCAGCATACCATACTCAATCGCCTCATCAGCACCAAGTCCTCGAAGGAACTCTTCATTACGAGCATTCGAACTCGTGGCCGCCACAACATGTACTCCCGCTGCAGACGCCAGCTGAACGAGATAAATCCCTACCGCTCCAGCGGCACCGGTAATCAGCACCCGCTGGCCTTTCTGGCCAGAGGACTGGGCCTGGTTCTTAATAGCCTCCTCCGCCGAGGGCATAGGAATACCACCGTGATCAAACAATGCCTCATAGGCCGTCTGTGCGCTAAGAGGCAACGCCGCGGCTTGGTCAAATGTCAAGGCTTTCGGTTTCAGGGCGAGTTCATCCTCGTTGAGAAGTGCGTATTCCGCCCAGGCGGCTGCGCGGTCTGTAGCTGCCATGCCGAAAACTTCATCTCCCGGTTGGAATTTGCAGTCCGGTGAGAAGACCTCTGTCACGATTCCTGAGATGTCGTTGCCGATTATGGCGTATTCGTGATAGTAGGTCTCTGGCCATGTAAGCATGTCGCGAATTACTGTTGTGGCTTTGACGCGAACGAGAATGTCGCCGGGTTTCGATGGCTTGGGTATGGGGACATTGTGATCAAGATGTAGGGCTGAGGATGGAGCGGGGTTTGAGGGTGAGTAAGGGATGGATGATGGAGGAGCTGGGTGGACGCGAATGGCTTGCATGGTGGAGAAAGGAAATCAGTGATGTAGTTGTTTCCGACGTATTCCAGGTGGAGGTCGAGTGCTATAAGAATAGAAGCGATACGAGGCGTATCCGACATAGGCTATTGATAGGCTATACATAACTAGGGCATTGGCGTCAGTTTCTTACTAAGCATGGGTAATGGTTGACATAACCCCAGTTAATTACCGGATATCAACACGAGCCTAATTCCCATCTGGCCCACAGTTCTCAAACTCATAGAGATTCCTAAATTTCTAACTCATGTTAAGGATTTCTTAGCGCAAGAGAATGCATTTAAAGCCCCACAGAAGGAGAATTTCAAGGACATTTCAGCTGAGACCCTTGGCATAGTGCAAAGTATAGAAAGTGAAAGCGAGGTCAAGTCACATTTGTGCCTGCGGCTTCCGGGCGATGATGTACTAATGGTCTTCGCCTTACTGCAGATGGACAGAGATTTGTGCTATTAGCAGGTAACTTGTCATGGGGGGTAAATATACCCTATTGTGTCGGATAAAGTGACCCTGGTTGGGAATAGTCACGATGTCTGATTTGATGCCATGTTTACCCACGCCTTTTCATATCAAGGAACCCTCTCAAGATTATCGGGAACCACTGACCACGATGGATGATTGCACTGACTCATTGACAGATTCATACCCTCGCTAAATTGACAAATAAACGTAAGGAAAAGACCAGCCCTGCATATACGAACAAAGCAATGAAGCCTTGCCAAGCCACACCCCGCCATGTTCTACTACACGGACCCTGATCCAGCTCATGCAACATTCCTGAGACCTCATTTACCAGCTTGCCTGACAGTCAGCATCTCAAATGAACACACTTCTTGATATGGCTTCAAGTTCGGAGTCCATCTACCAGCCGCTGGATCCATCCAGGTCTGAGATCCGGCTGTTAAGGCTGCACCCCCGACAAACAGTCAGACCTGACGAAAGCCTGCAACTTACCATGTTTACCACCTCACCACACGAGCAAAAGTATTTCGCTCTGTCGTATGTGTGGGGTGAGGACACTCCAAGCAACCCGATCACAATCAACGGCCATAACGTACCCGTGACTGAAAATCTATTCGACTTTTTACTACATTACCGCGATCTCACCGAAGTGAGTAGTACGTGGGAGCTCGCAGATATGCTCTTCTGGGTGGATGCCATCTGCATTAATCAGGAGGACATTCCTGAGAAAAACAGTCAGGTCCTGCAGATGTCGTCAATCTACCGTTCTGCGAACGCGGTGCTATCATGGTTAGGTGTGGAAGAGGATGACAGCGACTATACCATAGAGGTGATGATTGATATAGCCGGAAAAGTAGCTGCATCACTTGATGAAAACGACCCTCTTTCATGGATGGCCCCTAGCCAGACCGAACTGTGGCAAAGAAACTCGGACAGCCACGGAATGGGAAATAAGTTCTGGAAAGGTATTGTAAGATTGGTGCAGCGGTCGTATTGGACCCGCGCATGGATAGTCCAAGAGATCGTGCTTGCAAGGAAAGTCACGTTGCTCTGTGGCATGAGACTTTTTCAGTTTCAGGACTTGGCGACTATAAGCACATGGATAATGAGACTTCACCCCGATCATAGGCCCTCATTTGCCAGTCTTAGTATCTGGCTCTATCTATCAACTCCTGGCTACCGGGAATACTGTGGGATAGCACAGCCCATGAAGTATGTTCAGTTCATCCAGTTAGTAGAAGAAGCAGCAAGGACAGAAACATTCGGAACATCGGATCACTGGAAAAAGATCATCATAACCACTCGAACGGCTCAGGCCTCAGACCCTAGAGATAAGCTCTACAGTATGGCCAGTTTGTTGCGCCATAGTGTAACCCCGGACTATTCTATCTCGGCAGAGGAGACGTACTGCAAATTTACAAGAATGTGCCTTGAGGCAGACGGTGGATTGCACATACTGTTATTTGCAGGCCACGGTATAGTCACTGATATACCAGGCCTGCTGGGGCACCATCTATTCTTGCCTTCGTGGGTCCCAAATTGGGATCTGTTGTCGAAGGCAGGCATGTGGACTCCAGTTCCCGCTCAAATGGCGAGTTTCGATGCTAATGAATTTATGCGAAACCAGAATATACCACCATTCTCTTGCTATGGAAATACCCTAGAGGCTCCTGGAATTCACATGGGTGAGGTCTCAACATGCCTCTGCTTCGACAACAACCTTGAAATGTTTCGCCGTTTCTGGCTAGATTATATTGAGGCTCATAAAGACCAACGGGGTGCTGGCGGAGCTCGGGTCCTCCTCACTATTATAAGGCTGCTGCTTTTTGACCAAGTCCCTAGTAGTGATATGCAGCTTGGGCTAAACCCTGAAACTTCGGTATTGGAAAGGGCAATTGTCTATATGGTATTAGTATTATTGGATAAGGATGCAGGATCCGCTAAGTTTCTGCAGGAAGCCAGGAGCAACCAATATCTAGATCAGCCAGTTGATGGAACTCGACTACGAGAACTTTTGGATAGGAATACCATTGACCATTGGAGCATGAGCAGTATCGCACAACTCATGAGCTCGTTTACAATACTCCGAACGTGCTATGCGTTTTTTGAGACTAGCCATGGGCATCTTGGGTGGGGCCCTCCAGGAACATGCAAAGGGGATATCATCGGCATCCTCTTCGGCTGTGAGGCGCCTGTTATTCTGAGAAAGATAGATTCACACTATATTTACATTGGAGCCTGTTATGTTGTCGGAATCATGGATGGCGATCCGTTAGCTGGCATTGACAAGGGTTCCCCCCGTATCAAACGGTTTAACATTGTTTGAAAGTGACGGCTATAGGATTTGCTTGAGAGATGGATAACGTACGATGATGGCTTGGAAGCTGTAGCCTATGACTTGTGCTCCTTTTCCCTCATTGTCAAGGATAAGTTGTATAACCCTCTTGGAAACTACAGTCTCGGAATTACTCACCATGCTGTAACTGCCAAACTACATTTTACTATGGCTATTCTCCTCATATTCCACACCTTGTCGGTGATGCTCAAATTCTCCCTTAGCCGGGTTTTGAACTTGGTCAGTGTTACCAAGCCGTCCTATACTCAAAGCATGCCTGTCTGCTCTCACATCACTGCCAAACAACCAGGGTTCTCGGTGGGCTAACGATAAAATTATGCACCATGGTCAGACCTCGCAAGTGAGGCCGTCCAGTGTCTTCTGAATGATCTGTTCCTAGCGCGCTACTGCTTGCGTTTATAGTGGCATGACTTGGAAAGAATTCGACATTCTGGATGCCGTGAGACAGTGAAGAGTAGTAGCGGAGGGCTTCATGGTGAAGAAAGATCTTGAGATCTGACCGCGAGAAAATGTCGAACATCGATGCGGGGTTGAAGCCAATCTACATTCGATATTTACCGTGACTGGATTGTTTGTAAAGAGTCAGAGGCGCTGTACACAGATCTCATGGCTAAATCTGGCCTCTGTTACAGAAGTCTATAAAAGTCTACAAAAGCCTGGAAACACGAAAGTACACCTAGACAAGACACTGTACCCACGGGTCACCCACGTCGATGTTTGTTAATCACCAGCTGATATAAATCATTAGTGTGTTAGAGACTTGATAGACTAAAGCGGTCTTGGGCTAAGTTGCTTGTAATATCTGTCTCAAGTACGACTAACTAGGCAGGAAGCCTAAAACTTTCTGCAAATCCACAAATTACTCAAAAATCAGGGACAAGTATACTTCCCTTCATGATCTGTCTGGCCTTTCCCCCGAGATGTACCTCCCTCACCTTCCTCACCCCATCTTCTCCAACATCAACCCTAACCTCGACTGCAATATCACTCTGCCGCCCCATCTCAACGCCCTGCGTTACTTGGAACTGAATGCTTGTCTCACTGTACTCATGAAGTGCAAGGTAGCTAGTCAATGCACACGCCGCCGACCCTGTAGCCGGATCTTCCATCTGATCCTCCATCATCCTCGTTCTCAATTGAACAGTCCTTACCCCAGCGTCTGAGACACTCGTTCCCATTAGCACGTAATAGTACCTCCCAATGAAGGTCTCACTCCACTCTACATCGACAAGGTCGCTCACTGCACAGGGGAAAGCGCCCGGGTAGACCTGAGACAGCAGATCCAGACTCGGGAGGGAAACAAGAGCAAAGGTCATGCCCTTAACGATGCTGAAGATCGGGGCCTGGAGCTCCGCAGAGCGGATCTCGGACGTGGGGTGCAGCTTGTCCGCACGGAGGGTCGACTCAATGTCGCCGAGAACCTTCGAGTTGAGATGGGTGTCGTGCGGAATAGAAGCGCTAACCAGCCCTTCTGCGTCGGAGTGGATAGCAATGGGGCCGGCTTTAGTGATTAGCTTGTTTATCCCCTGCGCCTGAAGGTAGCTGGCCGTGCCGATGGTGGGATGGCCGGCAAAGGGGAGTTCCTTGTTCGTCGTGAAAATGTCGATGCGACGGGTGTGCGGATCTGAGTCGTTGCTTGGGTCGACATCGTGGATGAAGACTGATTCTGAGAGGTTAAATTCTCGGGCAATGGTCTGCTTCTGGGCCTGGGAGAGCGGATGCTCCGGAGAAAGGTGGACGATGCCCAGGGGGTTGCCCTTGAACGGCGTGGTGGTGAAAACGTCGAGAGTGACAAAGTTGAGATGAGTAGCCATTGTGGGTAATTCAGGAAGATTGGAATCTAGAAAGGAAACAAGAAAAAAAATAAAGAAAGTGGATGCCATCGTATTCTTAAATAGCGCCTCGTGAGTCATGCACGCTAGTCATCTCGATGCTTAGGGCTACCCAAGTTCGATTTCGTATACTGAACCATCTTGTAAATACTTCTCAAATTGATTTAAACATTGTATCAGGTGCACTTTAATTGCTCAACTTGCTTATACAGTTCTACTACTCTTCGTGTTATTGAACTTCACTAATTTTAGAGTGGCATACCTTAACCTAACCGCCGTAACGTAGCCAAAGTTAAGTAGGTTAAGGTTAAAAGTAGGTTAACCGCGGTTAACCACGGACGGAGGTTGAACCCTATCAACTGTTCAGCCATTTGAAGTCTACGATTCAACGCAGTAAAGTCTTTTACCGTGCTATGCCACCCAAGCATAAGGTGATGCTATATAATAGATGGGCTTCCTATAATATTAGACAAAGAAGTCTCATCCTGACCGTAAGCATGGATCTTTGACTTAGAAGTTAGGGCGTGCAGGCCACAATCTACAACGTTCTGGGCACCCCACTGCTTTTCTTGCTCGTATACGAGAGATTCAATCACGTAATTTTGATTTCTCTTGTTACGTTTCTTTATTACTAAGTACTAATCTTTACTATTTCTAGTTTCGCCCTTTTGATAGTCCTGCTTCTATAGTTCAATCCTTGGGACTCTGTAGCCTCGTATATGGCCAAATTATTTCCCTTGCGATGAGAGATCAGCACACTGCACGCCGCTGGCGCCTTAGCTCTAATTATGAAAAACACACAGACTGGACTCCATACAGTGTATCTGAATATTTTTCTGGTGAACATATATTTATCACAATGGGTATCGAACCAAGATCATCACGGGTCCCGTGACTTGGGGATGACTCAGCGATTCTGGGACTGCATTTATCGTCAAAGCGAATCTCTTCAACTTAACGTCTCAAGGCCTGGGCAAGCTTTGCCGATGCCGACCAGAAAGAAACATAAGATGCCACCTGTGGAGAGAACCGGGGGAAGGCAGACTCGTCAAAATGCCTCCTACCCGAGCAAGAAGAATAGATTGTTCCGTTGCCAATTTTGTGCTAGAGAATTCCAACGGAACGAGCACCTGCAACGACATGAACGGCTACGTAGGGATTCCAATTCTTTAGTACCCAACAGACACGAACCCTCGCTCACATACTACAGACACGAAGGAAAAACCCTTTGGTTGTACTGCCTGCCCAGAAACTTTTACCCGAAGGTAAAAGCAGATACAGATCCTCCTTAGTTGTATATACGGCTAAAGATGGCTGAACCAGTGACCTCCTCGCACGTCACCTACGCCTCTGCCATCCTGCTACTTCGACAACCACCCATGGCTCTGGGACTCCTTTGAATCATCGCCACAAATCGCCGGAGCATTCTGGTTATGCTCTCCATGGCGCAGAAAGCACACCGCACCATACCCATACAGGACAAGACACGGCCCTCACTGTCAACGACGATTCAGGTCATTCTTCGTCCATGTTACCAACCCCCGACACATGCTTGGTTCCTGTCTCAGATGCATTCACCTCAAGTCTATCCAGAACTGATACGGATACTTCAGCCGCAATGTCCGTAGAGGCTCCTGTCAGCTCGTCACAGGCACTGTGGGACCAGTCGGCCCCCAATTTTGGAGATTTCACTCACATCCTTGACAATATGACTGTACCATCACCATTGATCTATGACCAGCCAGCCTTGCCACTGCCAACATTCTCCCTAATTGATGAGCCGGGTCCTCAGCCTTCCGGTATTCGTTGGCAACTTCCCAGTACTACTCCATCTGATGTAGCCCCAGTTCGTCCACAAGTCCCGAATTTATTTGATGAATTCTCGTCGACATTTCCCTCATTTGATATATTGCCGTCGGTGAAAACTTACAAGGATCCATGGCACATCACGCAACAACACTGGGACAAAGTCTTTGCACAAATTCAATTCTTTAGTCCTCTCATTCCGCCTGAATTTGTGCTTCAGTCACGCCATACTTTGACCCGTTATCTCGGGACATACTTCTCGGGATTCCACCGCCATTTGCCCTTTCTTCACATCCCTACATTTTCACTGGAAAGGTGCCCAGTTGAATTACTACTAGCTATGGCGGTTATTGGGGCCCAGTCTAATTTCGAACATGATAATGCGAGAATGCTGTTCGAAACGTCTTATGCCATAGTCCAAGAACGTCTGCGTAATCGCAAAGCCGAGCTTCGTCATAGGTCATTTCCAATGGAAGATGAGGCACCGACCGAATTGCAACCCGGCCAGCCTTGGATGGGAAGCTCTTTCTCTGTCCCAGAAGTCCCGTCAGACTCGACTGCGGGCCATGCCTGCGTCCCTCAATTCCACCCACTGCCTGCTGCACAGACACTGCTCTTACTTATGGCAATGGCAACGTGGGGGAATTCAAAAGCCATCTACAACAAAGCTTTCGGTCTACAGAACACGATAGTCAATCTTGTACGAGAGGAAGAATTCCTGAAGGTGCAAACCCGGACACCGGAAGGCATTACCTGGGCTCAATGGGTTCAAATCGAAGGCTTCAAGAGGACGATCGCTATCATATACTGTTTTTTAAATTTCCACACAATAGCGAATGACACCCCTCCTCCTATTCGAACCTCAGAACTTAATATCGATCTTCCTTCGCGCGAAGCTGATTGGGCGGCCCGAACCGAGAAGGAGTGGCAGGAACTCCGGGCTAGATCCGAACCTGAGCCACAATTTCAATCCTATTTCTCAAACCCCTTCTTAGAGCCCAAGGAAGACAACGAAATTCTCAAGGGATATTCCTCACTCGGTGGATACACCCTAATATTGGCCTTGATTCAACACATCTACTTTCTACGCGAGTTGAGCAAATGCAGACCTGGCTCAGAACAGAGCCTGTCTCCTCCAGATGCCGCCAGTGTGGAGCAAGCACTGAAGAACTGGCAGAATGGATGGTATAAAGACCCAGAATCATCCCTTCGTCCTGGGAGTCAACATGGCCCGATTTCCTTCAACTCGACAGCTTTGCTTCGAATGGCCTATATTCGGTTGGTTGTTGATGTGGGCCCGTGGCGCGCTCTCAACACCCATAATCCCTACGAAATTGCGATGTCTATACACCAAAGTCCGCCCCTAACACCGTCTCCTAAACTAGCACGCGCAGTGCTATACGCTGCGCATGCACTCAGCATTCCAGTCAAGATTGGTGTTAGCATCGTCACACGGAGTCAGGCGTTTAGATGGTCCCTTCAGCATTCGCTCTGTGCCCTTGAGTGCGCTTTTGTGGTTAGTAAGTGGTTGTTTGCTATACAGAATCGCATGGCCGAGGCGCCCCTCGATAATGAGGAAGCAACGTTGATCGCTTACCTCGATGATATTGTAACAGAAGCAGACCCTGCAACTTGTTTGGTGAGAGGGAGCGGGAAGGCACCTCACCTTTTTGAACTATGTGTTCGGGTCATTAAGCTTTGGGCAAAACTTCTGAGTGGAGAAGCACATTGGGATGTAGTACGCATGATTGGGAAGGTGTTAGAAGCATATGGCTACATCCTAGAGAAAGAGCTCTTAATGTAATCGAAATTTCAATAAAAGTTGAATACCCGTGACAATAACACTCTGAATCAAGCTAACTGCATTTGAGTTTTCAACTGTTGCCCATATCTATACTATCATTCAAAGCTTTGCGTAAAAATATGTGTATGAGCGAAGTAGATGGACCCAGTTCTCCAAGATGCCAAGGCAGGCTCCTCCCCACTTTCATCAGGCACGAAAAAGCCCTAAATGAGGGGCACCGGAAATACTGTCTTCTTGGCGTTATGGGGAATCATACACTGTTTGAGTCATCGTTCGGTCCTCAAATTGCAATATCAACGCGCTCGAGGATAACACTATGCCTGATATCAATGACGATATGTCGGCGGGCCTTTTGGGGCGCAGATAAAACGAGAACTGTCGTTGGATTCAATACTTGAGTTAACGATGTAGGGACAAGCTTTGAAGTCCCGAAAGACCGAGCTGAGATCTTTGCGGAGAGACATCGGGACCCAGAAGCGATGCTAACGGTATGCAGTCTAGCTCTAAGTCTCCAAGAAGCCAAGACTGCCGACCGTATAACTGGGCGCATAGAACGTGCGGAAGACAACCAACTTTTCGAAATGTACCTGCTTCTATTGTATGGTGAGCTTAGCAACAATTTGAGTTATTACATTACTCTCTGTATCTATCAGAGAATATAAACAGTGCAAGTTCTCACCCTGATCCACGTCAACATCTTCCACTTCAATATGTCCTCCTCGTCACCTGTGGATGCACCATCCCATGTGCTAGAGCTCCTGTCAAGACTCCATAAAGTGTCGTTGGAGCAGGAAGCTGCCATTGATAAAACTGGCAAGGTCTTCTCGGCCAAAGTCATTGGCGACTTCGAAGACAAGCTCCCCGACAAGGATGCAACGGCCGAGTTCGATAAGCTGATGCTTGATAAATTCATCGCCCTCGATGAGGACAAGTGCCAGTTTGTATACCAATTAATTAACGCGATGGGAGCCACCAACGTGGTGGAGGCAGGGACCAGTTTCGGTGTCAGCACTATCTATCTAGCCCTCGCGGTAGCCAAAACGAAAGCTGCGACAGGAAAGACTGGCACGGTCATCGCGACTGAGAAAGAGCCGGAGAAGGCAAAAATTGCAAGAGACTATTGGAAGGAGTGTGGCTCCGTGGTGGAAAACGAAATTGATCTTCGCGAGGGCGATCTCCTAGAAACCCTGAAGGAGAACCTGCCAGAAGTCGACTTACTCTTACTGGACAGTAAGTATATCCGTTTCTTACATGGTGTTGTTCTTAGCATCATTGTCGGGCAAGAGCTAATTGCCTACTAGTCTGGTCGAAACTTGCCCTCCCAACGCTCAAAACAGTCCAACCGCGTCTGCGGCACGGCGCCGTGGTCCTTACCGACAACACTATCTCGGGCGCTCAGGGATATGCGGACTTACTGGCCTACCTCCGAGAACCAGGAAATGGCTTTCGCAACATGACTTTGCCCTTCACGAATGGGTTTGAAATGAGTGTTTATCTACCAGAGAACAAATAATACACAACTGCACAAGTCTCTGTGTAATAATAATATCATTTGCTATTATATTATATTTCAGTTCATTAAATACAACATTGAAATTGTGATGGTCATTGAAACTCTATTCATTCTTTACATCCTGTATTTTGAAGCAGAATTAAATACCGGTAACGATTTGTAACTACTGACTCTTAATCCAAGCTTGAATATTAGAGTTGGCAACATCGGTGAAAACGTCCGGAAGACCAAGTAGGTCGCACCCATTAGTCTGCGAGATGATTCCAGCAAGTTTACCACCGCAAGTAACCGGGCCACCACGGTCCCCTGGACAGGTACCTTTACCAGCTTCGGAGCCACCACAGATCATACGGTCGGTGATTTGGCCGGCATAAGTCTCATTGCATTTCTCTCGGTTCACGATAGGAAGTGTAACTGATTGTAATTGTCCTTCCAGGTCACCCCAGCCAGAAGCCACACATTCAGCCCCATCCGCTGGCTCCTGGCCAGACTGGACAAATTCAGCCAGCTTGACAGTTGGTCCGGGTGTGATAGAGGAAGATAATTGGAGCACGGCAACATCGAAATCATTGGTGGTAGGCTTGAATTGAGGATGTCGGGAAATCTTTGATACCGTAATTACATACCCTCCAGAAGATGTTTTGCTTGAGCCTGCCCTCACGGAAAAGCTTGTGGGTGATGCCTCTAGGCCATATACGCATTGTGCAGAAGTAACAACACGGTTTCCGCTGATAATAACACCAGCACAGGTATAGGCGCCTAATTTCGAAATGCTGACCACATAGGGAAGGTCGTTGATCGTAGCAGGTGAGCCACCTGATACTTCTGTAGAGCCCAGGGCACCCTGTAGGAAAGGTAAAAGAGAAAAAAGAAAAGTGGATTTCATTTTGATTGAATTTTTTTAAGAGGCAAATGTTTTGTGCCAGAAAAAAAGGTGATGAGAACTCGTCTTAAGAGAGAGGAACCACATGATTGCTGCCGGGGGTTTTATACTCGAATCTCCTGTGGTGTGCATTGTTATTCATAGCTTTCCAATTCTGCTTTAAAGTTCGACTATTGATAATTTTTCAATAGTTTCTCGCTTCCCGTGCAAAGTTGAAGGATCTGCAAGCATTCCTCCCAGACTTTCCTCCTCCACAGCTCGCGATCTGAACCATTAAGTAGCTACCTATCAAACCAAACCAAACTTAGGAGTGCAATAGATTCTACGTGGTTAATTGACCGTGAATGCTGGAGGATATCATGATCTTAGTTCTCGTGGTCGGGCTCGAGCGAGGTACAATTTTGTGACAAGGCGAGCGGAAACAATAGAACTCATAGCCTCCATATGGGGCTAGGCCCATTCTTGTGGCACTCTTGGATACGTCTCTGATTGGAATTAGATTGATGCACAGTCCACGATCGACTCTTTAGTGGCTAGCTGTCGTGGGCCGGCTCATCTCGGAGATTCCCGCGCTGATCAATGGGATGGATATTGGCCAATTATAAGGAGCCTCAAGCTGACAAGAGACAATCCCAGTATGGATCTTCGGCTCAGTTCGGGGTGCAGCTCTGAAGGGGCCAGAGTTTAGGGTTTAGGGTCTGAGACCTTCGGAGCTCTACCGTCTTGGCCATATAATAGGGGCTGTGAAGGTGTTATAAATATACACCCTGTCGATCCGTCCATCTGATTGATCGTATTCTCCCCGTTCTTAGGACTTGGTTTTCCATTGACCGCATGCATTATGTTTCAGTCATATTCGGACGTAATAATTTATATTTCTCTTTTTTAGAGGGTTAACTCTTTATCCCTCTCTTGTTCTCTCCTCTTTCTCCTAATCTGTTGATTATAGCCTATCTCCTTTTGATTATTCTTTTTATCTCATGTATCTTGCCATCCCGCTTTACCCCCAGCACCTCTCTAATTCTAGGCTTTGTGCTCCGTAGAATTATAACTCGGCCTTCTTTGTTTTGCTGTAAATACCTCATAGAGAGCCAAGCTTTGGCCACCAAAATTGCTCGTGCCCAGACAAATAATTATTCCACCCTCTTCCCCAGAAGCTGTCAATAATCAACATTCGACACCTCATCCTATGATGAAATTCCAATATCTCAGCTTACCAGACAACCTTTGAATAAGGGACACAATCTTGGCCATTCCCATAGAAAACAAAAACTTTATTCTGGTTGGTGCCTCAAAGCGCAGGGTGTCATGGCAGACCCCTTTGTGGTTTTGCCTCCACCTAAGCTATAGAAGTGAAATAGGAGATGTATAATGGCACGTGTTTCGATTCTCTTAGCCCTACACCCTAGGTGCCTTCACAGATTCTACTCCACTACCTCGCGTGGCATAAACTCTCAATAGACATACATTTCTGCTCTCCTCCCGAGATGCATCTTGTGAAATCCCCGGCAGATCGAAGGAGAAAGTCCTTAGCAGACCGAATATATTCTTTACAAATTCAGTCTCTCAGAACCAGCTGATACGGAATCTGTATGTGGGCGGCAAAGTCGATATCGTTTGCAAGAATGGGAAAGAAGAATTATTCCTCCGTACTTATGACGGTCTTCGCCGTTGAATGCTGCGATGATTGGTTGGCTGACCTTTGGCTAGGTCGTGAAGCTCGTAACATTTAGCTGTGCTAATGTCATAGCAGAGACTGGCTTCATATCACCAAGTTTCCCGCGGCGAAGTGGTGGGTCCGGCACTAATGCAGATACTGAGGCAGCAGGCCGCTTATGTAGATGTCCTATGAGGCTTTAGTCTCCGTCTCGTCTCGTCTTCCTCCATTTCAATCGAACTTCCACGTTCTTCTTACTCGGTCCTCCCGCCAGAGTGTGCAAGCTATGAATAAGTCTCCTCTTTTTTCTCTTCCGTGGACAGCCTTCCTCGGCTCAATTGGCCGCGGTCAAAGGCCCACATCCGAAGTTCGCGGAGGGCGTTCTCCGCACCTATGGCCTCGGCCAGATCTATACAATTCTTTGCCGCCTCCACCCATATTATTCCATTTCATTCAATTCAAGATAAGCCATATTAAGATACTGTGAATTCCGAAGTTAGACTATCACAGTAATTTTCCTTCTATACCCCTCTTTTCCACCTGGTCGTCAATCTAGTTGAACCCCTTTCTCGCCGTCTATTTGCCCTCCATAAATCTTTCTTTCTCAATACCCGCTCGGAGTCTATTGAGACTGCTATCAACATAACCCAAGTACTCTACTAGTAAACTTGATAGCAATATATTTACAGCCAGGTATCATGGTGTAGCCCAGGGTGCCGAATTCATTCCTTTCGTTACGAGCTATAGGCGAAGCGGCCCTTATACTCCATCCCGGCTAATGGACCAGGCTCTGTGTATCTGCGGGTTACTCTTCCCAAATCCCGTCGGTTTCTATCCCGGGGGCACAGAGATTGACTTTAGCTGGCTGATGATTAACCGCTAGGATATTGAATTGCTCTCAGTATTTATCATAGGGCCTCTTCGGCAGATAATATATCTCAGATGTCCCAGAGAACTATCCTAAGCATAATGTTCCGAAAATAGTATTATACTTATTATAAGACACGAAACATACTTATTCAACTCTAGAAGACAGTACTAATACATAGATAGATAGTGATATTCGGTGGTCAATTCGTTACATACATATATAAAATCAGGAACATAAAATCATACCAGAAACAAATCGTCATAAACATAGCTACACAGCCGCAAACCTATCAAATAAAAGCCAACCAAACTCTTTCCACAAAGTTCCTCGGTATCTTCCGAGGCCACTCTATTGCATCAAGCTCGGCCTTTCCGGTAAAAAGATCGGCTTCTTCAGGCCGCTTCCATTTTGTGCGCTTCAAAATCTTCCAGAAGAGAAAGAAACCGAAGAAAAGGGGGAAGCCGATGTATGAGGTGATAAACCCTGGCAGGTTGAAGCCACCGGCGATAGAATCGAAGCCGTTGAAGAAGACCACAATGCATAGATATCCCAGCGTGGAGTATGTGGAGTAAGGCTGTAACGGGAATGAAAACGGGAGGTCTGATCGGTCAATATTCTGGGCTTTGAGAGCGGCGTGAAAGCGCATGTATGCGATACAGATGGAGATCCAGGTGTACCTGTAATGGTGAGTACATTCTGTATTCTAATTTAAGCATGTCACACAATGTGGTAATGGGGTCATACAGAGTAGAAACTGTGGTCAGATTCTGAAACCACTGGAAGACAATGTTTGAGCTGGAGCCCATTGACATGAATGTCAGGAAAGAGATTGACATGGTCACCAAAAGGGCGCAAATCGGGATCCCTTGTTCGGTACAACGTAGGAAAATCTTAGGAGCCTGCTGGTTGCAGGCTAACGCATAGAGATATCTGGATCCCATAAAGACGTATGAGTTCCCGGAGGAAATGCCAGCGATGAGGACCACAACGTTAACAATGGATGGCAGGGCCTTGATCCCCGCTAGGTTGATTGCAATCACCCAGGGAGACTCAGTATTAGAGGAAGAACTAGCTCCCAGCAACTTAGAATTGTTACTGGGACAAATCAGTCCAAGCGCGAATGAGGCAAGGACGAAAAAGAACAAGAGTCGCCAAAAGACACGTCTAATGGCCCTGGGAATGTTTCGTCGCGGATTTTCGGCTTCTCCAGCGGCGACTACGACGGTTTCAACACCACCCAGGGAAAACGAAGCATTGACTAGTGTGGAAAAAAGCCCCAAGAACCGGCCAGTGCTGCCTGACGCAATATACTCTTTCATGATGCCGTCGGTCTTCCAGTAATGGAATCCGAGCCGATTGTGGGTTGGGACTCCTCCAAGATCAATCAGGAGAGCTGTGATAGGTAGACCGATTATTCCACAGAGTTTGATCACCGCACAAGCAAACTCAGCTTCTCCATATACTTTGACTGCCAGGATATTCAGTGCCAGCAGGGCAACGATGAGAATCACAATCCACACAGCAACGCTAACATGCTCAGCACCCGACCAGAATTGAATGATGCTGCAGACTGCTGATATTTCAGCACAAAGAGTGATGACTGCCGTAAACCAAGTGTTCCAGCCAACAGCAAAACCGAGGGCATCGTCGACATAGCGGGCGCAGAATTGGGGAATGGCACCTGGTAGCGGCAGCCACGCGGCCATTTCTCCAAGCGCCATCATCATCATGAAGCCAGCAGAGCTGGCAATGGCATATCCAAGGAAGAGTGAGAGCGGTCCGGACGTCCTCAGTGCCCGTCCTATACCCAGAAACAGCCCCGTGCCAAGATTGCCGCCGAGTGCGATGAAGGTTACATGTCGAGCCTTCAGGTCTCTCTGAACACGGCCATATGTCTCGAATGTAGTAGCGTTGGCAATGTCAGTAAAGGATGCATTATCCTGAAGCATTGGGTACTTTAGTCAGCTCAATGAAACATGAAAGGAGACATAAGAAAGTATATTCGACTCGACGTCAAAGCGAACCTTGGGATCATTTGTTCCAAAGCCTTCTCATCGACAGTGCCACTATGCTCGAATCTTAGATTATCACTCATGATTGATATAATAGCGTGTCGTGGGCAATTACAATCTACCCTGGACTCCAGGATTAAATATCGCTCTCTCTGATGGCCAAGGCCAGGGTGGACACCAGAAGTTGGCCGCGGCCAAGTCCGCGGACGGCTTCAAACTGGGGGAACTGACGAGTGGATGAACACTTCTGTCCCCACAGATTGATAACCTTCCTGGGTTTTGATTTATGACAGATAGAAAAGTACCGATAACGTACTTTCTAATTGGAGATTCTTATCTTGATCAGAAGGTCATGAACCATGATAGGACACGAGGCAGGCACTAAGATTCTCGGAGGTCAACGCCGCGTTCGGAGGCTGGATGTCTATATTAGGGCAAATTTAATAACATATTCCATGGCCCAACAAATATAACATCTATCTAGTACGATTATTGTAAGTAAATATCTGACCTACTCGATTGGATAGAAATTAAATATTTGTCATAAAGAAAGTAATACGCAAAGGTAGTAGAATGAGATAATGGGATACAGGATATTAAAGCATTAAGAATCGGACTCAACTCTGTTTAGTATCATTTGTAAACTTCTTTACCACAATATACTGCTCGTTTAAATCGAAGTATGGATGGCTACTGTACACGCGGAGCCTTGGTCTATATAAAGATGGCTACCCCCAAGCTTTGGCGTAATATTTCTCGAATATCTTCATTTTTCATAACAGGTGAAAAGAAAAACTATACAACAGCGTACAAATATCCGTGCTGAACCACTCCAGCACCTATCGCCTTGCCGCTTTGGCAGCTTTTGCGGAGTGTTTGAAAGCTTGCTGCATGTCATCACGATCTACCCAGGTTAGGAACCCAGCACTACTATCAGTCAATCGCGAAGGGCATTGATGGTTGTCAACGTATCTAGTTCTAGACTTTACTGGGACATATTTTACGAAATTCCTTCACTCAGAGAGAGCTCATTGCTTTTGTGGGTTAGCATTGATATACCCACATATTAGGTACGAGAGTGTCATGTTTGTCTCCAGAGTAGACAGTATCGGGGCAAGCGTAAAGTTCGCCATCTCAAGACTTAGAATATTTTACTTTCGTCGGATTAAATCTTAGGTAAATTCGTTTATACAATCGCAGAGAAGGTCTTGCAGTAATAAACAGTTTCATAAAGATTCACTCTACGGAAACAGATTTTCGACAGAAGCCTGAAAGCACACCCCTGTTTCTCATAAAAAACACGGGCCAAGTATATTTAGGACTTTCTTTTCTTGTCACTATAGGCGCTCGTCTTGGTATTATGCTCTTGTCGGTCTGTATGTACCGCTAGGCTACATAATGAAGCACATCAAGAACCATCATATGTGTACGGACGACTAGTCATGCCAATGGAGTCCAGTCGTGACTTACTGAGAGCCTTACAGCCTAGTTCATAGTGATAGTAAGACAATCCTCGTATTCTCAGCAATTATAAGTCTAGAATAACTGCTGCCCTGTCACTGATAATGTGACCATGTTTGCCACCTTCTACTAAAAATGGCTGGCTGAGTTCTTTGATCAAATCGAGTCCAGTCGTATTCTCTTGGATCGAATAGGCTTTCATCAGCCCATGAACACACAACTTAATGCGGCGCTGCCGTCCGTCCTCTGGAACATGTACGGTTGCTCCAGCCTCGTCTTCCGCGCGCATGGTCTGTGGGTCATATATATGACCTGGTTTGAAGTGCACCAGTTGATAGCGCGTTCCGATATGAGGATAGCAGCACGCACGTAGGGTAAGGGCATGTCGGAATAACGTCCGCGTTTGACGCTTAAAGTGAGCGCCCATGTCTCCTGACTTGAGTAAAGGCGCCATCATTTTGAAGAACTCAAACTGTATCTGATCAGCGTACTTCGAAACAAATGCTTCCTTGAATTCTGGATTCCTCGATAGAGTAAGATTAACCGTTGCACGGTGGTATTTTTCTAGGGTTTCAGGTGATACTAAAGTTGAATTAAGTGATGGTGAGCCAAGTTAACTGCTTATGATCCAAGTGGCTGAAGCTAAGCTGTCACATACTGCTTTCTTCCAGAATACTTTGGAACTGCCTGAACATTATGCCGTCGAAGTGCAGTTCCCTCCATATCTCCGGGGCGTGAAATACACGTTCTTGAATAAAGCCAAAAGTAAGGGCGCGAAAGGCTGATATGGGCTCTGTGGATAGAAGCGCTTTGCTGATAATGGTTTGCTCGATGAGGTGAGTCAGATTCTGGTCTATTGTTTCATCCACTATGTCATGCCTTTGGATTTTAAAGAGTGAATTTGCTGTATAGACCACGTAGTTACCCAATGTATCCATCTCCTGGTATATAAAGCCCGTTGATGTGGCAAAAGCGTCGTCGTATGATGGGAGCGGACGGGCAAGCTCAATAAGCTCAAGGGCGTTTGAAAGGCGGCGGCGAAGCCTTTGTATCTCATTGTTCCGGCTAAGTAATCCATCTGCGGAAGATATAGTGATTAAGGGATCGTTGGTTGACGTGCACTGCGATGCTCTGATATTGGCTAGTTGCGCCCTGAGACGGTTGTTTTCTCGCTGGAGAGTTTCTATTTCCTTTTGCTGCGATACCGTCTCATGGCTCCTGCAAGGTGACGTCTGTTGTGCCTTGTGGTGGAGATTGATCATTTCCCCTGGGCATCCAGCACGCCCATCCTGTTGCGTAAGCTGGCGTCTACCATTTCCGTCCGCATTACATAGTTTGGGATCCTCGGGAAACGTTGCAGGAGCTACTTCAACATCATCCGTGGCGTTAGAGGCCAGGTCATCTATATCGCCCAACAGGTCCTCTACCTCGGTCAACGGCGAGTCATCGGAATCATTGCCGAGGTTGGGAGGCGGGATAATAACGCTGATCTGACAAGGAGCATTATAGTCAGTACGATTGCCCTCTTTTGTCCACGACTTATCGATGAAATTGGCAATTGCCACGGCAACATACGTTCTGTTTTATTTTGTGTTCGTCCGGCGTCGTTGACTTGCGGGCTTTTTTCCTTGATTTCCATTCATCTAATGGCGGGATATCTCGCTCGCCGGGTATAAAACGCGCTGGAGGCTTCCTTTCCCGCTTCACATCGGAAATAATATGGGCGTCTGTGATTCCTAAAGAGATATTGTGTGGTGGTGGGATGTAATCGGGGAGGTAGTAAAATCGACTCCCACCCACACCACGACCACCGGGAGGGCTCCCCATTGTGTCACTAATTTGAATCAGGCGCCGCAAAACCACAGGTATAAGTGCGAATCTACTGAGTAACAGGACAGCTCATCGGGTCAAGGACAATAGGAAGACTGGATGTAGGGGATGTTGGTGATGGGCGCTCAGATAACAAGGGCCAAGACTAATTTAGCCCCCGACCTGCCTGTTCAACACTAGGCTTTGACAATCCCTGCTAGTATACAGCATACTAATCCCAACCAGACTAGGTAGTGAAGTAATTTCAGTCAGGGGCTCTTGCTGCCTACCGGTCGCAGCCTTGCACTCTGCCTCGTGTGTAGCGCTTTAAATTCCTACCTGAAGTCTAGTGGTGATGTGCTCACTATTACACAGCATCAGGTTCTGTTTGCTATGGCCCGGCGATCGAATCCACCCAGACGCGTACGGCGAAAGCTTGACCCTCCAGCTTCCTCGACAAGTGCCTCCTCGAGCCGGGTATCGGACGAGGATGACGTTCATCTGCGACACTCTCCACGGCTAGAGCAAAATGTCCCTCCTGCCAGTAAAATTATACTATGCCTCGACTATGGGACGACCTTGACTTCCATCTCATATATCACCTTCGATCCCAATAACCCTCCCACAGACGTCCACCCAAGAGGTATCCGATCCATTGCGAACTGGCCGCGGGCCCGTCGATTCGTTCACCCAGGGAGCCCATTTGTGCCCAGTGAAAGCTGGTATCGTGACGGGAAATTCCTGTGGGGTCATGATGTGCAATATACGCTACATACTCTATCAGAAAATGATGATACAGAGTCGATAGATTGCATCGTTCAACTTCCGAAGCTGTTGCTGGATGATGACGGGGGGGACCTAGACAATGACCAGCTGGCACAGCCGAGGAAGGCACTCCGCAATGTAGGTAAAACTGCCAGAGACGCTATTCGAGACTATCTTATGAAAGTCTTCAAGCATGCTCGTAGTCAACTGGGGGAAAAAGAGGGTTTCAATAACACTTGGGAGGTCGAGCTAGCACTATGCGTGCCATCCAAGTGGTCAACATATGCACAGCTCACAATGCAGGAAATTATGCTTGAGGTAGTGGATAAAACGGACATGAGCGGGAGGGAGTTCTCAATGTTTATCATTGATGAACCTGAGGCTGCAGTGACCTTTGCACTGTGCCACGAGAACATCGAAGAGGTTATTACGGTGTGTATGGCTGTTTTGGCTGTGTCTCTGTTGGTGATACTCACAACCTGTAGAAGGGGACTAACTTCGTCGTCTGCGATGCTGGAGGTGGTACTGTCGTAAGACCACCCCATCCTTGTGTTTTGCCGCCCGCGGTGCGTGACTAACAATTCACGTACCTTTAGGATGCGATCAGCTACACAGTACGGCAAAAGGACCCCGTCAGATTCGATGAAATAGCCATGCCAGCCGGTAACGCCCTCTTCTAGGACTTATGTTAGGCAATACGTTAAGAATGGCAACAGGGAAGGACTGCGGTTCGAGCTATATCAACCAAGCTTTTATTAAGGAGTCTAGAGAAAGACTAGCACACATCATTGAACTGGGCAGGGAGCCCATGTTGTCCAAGGAAGCAGTGATTCAAGAAGATCTAGTTCGAAAGTTCGAGCAGGAGCAAAAACGAAACTACGACCCGGGAGACTGGGAGGAGGACGAGGACGAGACTATTAGTCTGCGCCTTCTTGGGCTAAGGCAAGACTCAGCGAGGAATTTTGGCACTGGGATGTTTTACATCACGAAGTAAGCCACCAGCGAGTCCATGGGATATCTACTATCTGACGGTATAATAGGGACCAAATGAATAACTACTTCAGGCGAAGCCTGGATGGAACTGTGGATTTGATCGCCGAACAGCTGAAGCAACTTAATGGCCAAGACGTCACGGTAAAGCCCCCTGCTGCCAGCTGCTGTCCCTAGAGACACCCTGTTGAAATTATGCTAGCGGTTGCTAATAGCTGTAGGCCATTCTCCTACTTGGTGGATTTTCTCGATCGCCGGCTCTGAAGCGTCGCCTCAACGACTCTTTCGGCCGAGATAGACTTAAAGTAATTCATCTGCATCAGGACATGTAACCTATCCTCTGCAACGTTTCTCCCATTCACAAAGCTAACGGTTTATCCAAGAGACTTGACTACCGCAGTATCCCGGGGCGGCGTCCTTCGTGCGCTAAATAAGGAGGACGGCCCACGACGGAAGCTTAGGCTGAATCTCGGAGTATGTCTCAGTGAACTATACAACGCGAGGTTTAAGGGACATAGAAAAGTCCATTTCTTTGATCACCCTCTAATTCAAAAGAGGTATATTAGTAATTGTATTTACTGGGTTATTCGGAAGGTAGACTTGAGCCTTAGTCGCCCTGGAGACACAATGTTGCACCAGACCCGTCGCTGATGCTCGAATAGAACCAAATTCTCGACGAGGGGGAGTCTACGGAAATTTGCATGCATCGCGCATTCAAACCAGGAGAGGAGATGACTGCTTATGAGACTTTATATTTCTCAGACGGGCCGGTCCACCAACATTACCGCATAGATGACAAGATGAACTCTGGTGAGTTGCGCTGAAAAATAATAAGCCAAGAGCTTTCGGTTCCTAACTAATTTTGATCGTCAGGCCATCGTATAGCGGGATTTGTTGAAGCATCCCTTGAAAGTCTTCGAACGAGGAACATGCTAGAGGAGAGAATTAACGATGTGGGAGATGTGTACTATGAAGTTCATTATAGTATCAAACTGGAAGTGAATGGCCGCAATATCAAGGCAACGATTCATTGCCCTCCAGGCCAAGAGGTCCAAGGTCAAGCACAAATTTGCATTGCCGCTGCCTTTCGACCTGGGACGAACTAAATAGAATCTGGCGACAAGCCATATCCAACCGCTTTACTAATCTTGTATCAGTACGAACCTGTATAATAGCAAGCCTAAACTTTGTATTTCCTTTCATGACCAAAACAAATAACTACTACTGATTCAGATGTCCGAAATATCAGAGACGCCGAAATTTCGCAAGCTCCATCAACGGCAATCTAATGCTCTTCTTTCCACGCTACGGTAATTTGTCTTGTTTCGTTGCCATCATCTTCATCGTCGTCACTAGAGGCCTCATCAGAGGATAAAAGCAATATTGGGGAAGACGACGATCCATGAAGGGTAGAGCAAATGGAAGTATGCTCCTGCAGTGCTGAAATCCAGTGCTGGAAGCTTTCAAGGGACTTTTCGATCCTCCAGTATCTGGCATGGTCTAATGGACGATTCATGTAGGGAAAGTACTCTGCTGGATCGTGGTTAGGACATAAGGGAACGGTGCTATAATAAGTGCCCTCATAAGACATTCGTTCCACCAAACCTGCTGCATCGCCATATTCATACGAGCCGTCAACGATATAAAGGCATCGACGAGGAATGCTAGGGCTCTGTTGCTCGCTGTCGACAAGGATTGTGCCATTGGGGTGGAGCATTAGCTGGTCTAGTTGCGGCCACACTTTCGGTCCATCCGTGAATATACTTTGTTTGCTTTGCATATGCGAGCAGCGCAAATAAGGGTCCGGCGACAGACGTCGTCCGATAGTGTGTGATTTAAGGACCAATGACACCAACTCAAGAACAGAAGTTGAGTCGTCGCGTTTGAAGCTGAGCGAGGATGCAATGGGCCCTCCGCGTCTACGCGACGTGTTGGAGAGGCACTGCATGGATATCGCGGCCGCCAGGGTGTCCATAACAGATGAGCCTTTTAAAAAATTAAGAAATCTCTCTGTCTCGCGATCTGTGTATATAGGGCCGCTGTTAATGACGTTTAACATTTCGCTCCCCCAAATCTTCACTACCGCCATGCTGGAGATGGCGAGACAGACAAGCTGGCGTACTGGCTGCCAGTCTGATGCAACGAACATCCGGAAAGTGAATCCGACAAAAAAGAAGGGGCTTCTGTCTGGCGCGTCTCTACAAGTCGCCGGTCTGGAAGTCCCTGTCCAAGCTTCCTCGATTCCATTCAGGGCATCTGGCACCAAGCGCCACGAGTCTTTCAGGATCGTAGACATCTTCGCTATGCTCTCCTGGTACGTTTCCTCAGAGGCAAACGAAAGGCTAAATGGCTCCACGTCGCGCTCTGTTATATACAGAGCCATGAATCTAGAATCAATGACGGAAGCGTCTCTCACAACCCCCTCTGCATGAATGAGATTCAAGAAGTCTCCACTGGATACAACTGACTGTGGTAACGTCTGAGATAGAAGGTCGGCGGGATCGTCGGAACGATAGGTCGACACTGTGGAGCCTCGCTCAAAAGTGGATAATATAACAGAGTCAGAGTCGGGGACGCACTCTTCTGACAGGCTTCTGAGCTGGGCTAGCAAAGACTCCCGATAGACGTCGCGAGCCCAATCAACTATGTAGTCAATAATAAGAAGAAGCTGCAGCGACCCATCCATGCTAGTTACATCACCACCCCACAGTTTAACGATCAACTAAACCTATATTAGAGAGCTGGAGGGCACGATGAGACTTTCGGGACTCTTACCCATTCAACATGGCTTTGCGTCTCTTTGACAAAGCAACCTGCCACATTCCACTGCTCCCCAGACCACGATAAAAACCAGACCAGTGGCTCAAACGTGCCACATCTATACTCACCAGCCTTTCCTAGCTCATGCTGTAGTTTCAATAGGCGCCGAATACAAAAGCCTGTTTGCATCTCCACAGCTGCCATGTCCCCGTTTTTGCCGGACTTGGCCTCCATGATCAAGAAGGGAAACAGCAGTTGCTCACCTTCATCGTCGAAAGGGCTGACTTCAATAGTCTCCCTGAGGCTTTGAAAATTCCCATCAGACACTGTGTGCCTGTTTATGGAGTTCAATACGTCTCTCAAGCTACCTGTATCTCGCAGGCCATATACTCTATCTGGCTCTTCCGACACCTGGCCTCTTCTCCGGCCTTGTATAGGAAGAGGTGGGTCATGTTTGATGGCTGCTTCTGCGCGATCTGAGAATACCATGTTCACCCCGTCCCCGTACCCACTGTATCTAAGTTAGCTAGTCACAGATCTCTGCTGTCCATATATTCTCACGAATTGTGCATTTCAGCTCACCTGTTGTAACCCCACTGGTCAACACACTGACATGGCTCACGATGCCGACGCCTAGCTTCTAATGACTGAGCAAATGGCTGCGACGAAGACACTGCGGCTTCTATCTCCGATTTCCAGAGCCTGCTGCGACATCTGGGACTAAACGACTCGTACGTATGTCAGCACGGTTGTAGGATATCCCTAAATTTTTATTTCACCATAGCTTACCAGGTTACTTCAACCGTAAATCTATATAGGACCTCTGGTTCAATCGAAAAACGCCACCCCGCCTCGTTCTTCCTATCATTCCTAGACATCGTACTCCGCCGGACCAGACGTGCTGCTCTCTGCTTTGTTTGATGTCTCCAGGGTTTTTCTATTGAGTCATTAGAGACGGTTTCGCTGAAGCTCGAATATTTCTGATTCCCGAGTTTCTGAATATCTTCGAAAAGGCTGCGGTGAGCATCCGGCCATTGCACAGGTGGGGCGTAGCCAAGAAAATCGATGTGAAGCTCTTTGGCGTAATCCCGGCGAGCCTTATATTGTGCTGGTGCCATCTTGCAGATTCAGTATGCCCAGCAGTTGGTTGGCAGAAACAACTGGATTAGTTCTCATTTGAAGAGAGAAAATCTTCATCGGAGCCCAAGTTGCGATACCCCACTCTCTGCCGCAGGCTATGCATCCTACTGCGCCACGATGAGCTAAGTAATGTCAGCTGGATAGCATGGACGATCGGTGACCTCTACAACCCCTGTTAACAGAAAATCATCATACGTCTATGAAAGGGCTAACTAATGACAAATGGCACAGATAACATGGACACAGATATATTGCCACATACTCTGGGTGCCGGGGGCTACTAAGGTATAAGACACCAATGCAGGGAATCTAGTGTATTCTTAATGACACCCAACATATGGGTGACACCATCTAGTCAAGTGATGTGCATGGACTACACAGGATCTATGAACTAATTATATACAGGGTGGTCTGCACCTGATCCTTGAAACCACAACTATCATGGCATTACCGGATCTTAAATGGCTTTACGGCGCCCAGATATCCAAAGCGATGGCGATCCTGATTTTGTAGTTCCTCGGGACCAATTCCATCCACCACTACAGTACTCCATCTCTCGACAAGCTCGAGTAGACTGTCCCGAAACACTGCATGTGGGCACACTTGGACGAGGACATAATAATCATCCTCACACCTGAGGAGCGCAGCCAAACCTGGGTATATCTCAACGAGAATGGTATTTTCGTGCAAACCCACCACTTCTTCCACGTCTATCCCATCTAGACCCGTCACGGCTCCGTTTCGTGTAAAATAGCCTCGAAGGATCTGTGGGCGAATAAGTGTCAGGACCTCGTAGCCGTTCTCCCGACTAAACATATTCTCAGTATTTTCCTCTTGTGTGCGCCTTGAAACCGCGGGGAAATCTCTCACGGATACGGCTCTGCTGTTTGGCCAGGGCACCGTCCAGTCGGCTGCCCAGGATGGGAGTCCAGGAAGCTTTTGGGGTGATCGGATCAAGGCAAGGAAGAAGCCCGGGCCGTGATGCTGGATGAAGAAGGCCGAGTATCGGGTATACACCTGGGCTGCTTGCAGTTCGTAATTCGCCTCGAGTTCAGGGAAGGAACCTCCATCTAAACTGTGTGCCAGACTGAGGACTGCAAAAATCTTGTCGCGAGGATCTGTGGCCGCGTGGTCTTTCGTCTCAATGAGGATATCCAAGAGATGAGACCGTCTCGGAAGAATGGCTGTCTTGCGGACCAAGACAAATATCCGGGGAATGCTACCTGCCCCGGCCTCTTTCAATAGTCCCAGGGCATGCAGTGCTCTCTCGGCCGTCGTGGTCCTGCTCCCACACACAATTCTCGTGCGATGGAGAGCGGGAAGGGTTACCTCCTGTAAAATCCAGACTCGGCTGAACCATCTTCGAGAGCAATACTCGTATGCAAATTTGGTAAGCTCTGGTTCCTCAACGTTTATCTTGTCTTTCGCTCTCTCCGATCGGTGCAGTAATTTGGAGACGCAATTTTTCCCGTACATGCCCATTAAGATCAGTCTTTCGTTGACCCCAACCCGAATACGGGCTATCAACCTCCGAATGTCCGCAGGTTCCTTGAGCGTGACGACAGGATGAGAAAGATCGTTCAAACCTCCGATCAGAGGAACGTTCAGCTCCGGTGCCTCGAGGCCATTGAGCCAGTCAAACAGCATGTCTGTCTGACACGTTCCCTCGCCCGTGTAAGCAATCACTCGACGGGCCGAAGTGAAGATCCTGGACATTTGCGCGATTTGATAGGTCCGCTCCTGAGCATTCTGTTGGTTAATGCAGACAGCATCGATCCACACGCGCCGTCTCTTCTTGGGATGTCGCAGCCGTCGGATCGCCATCTCACAGTTCTTCGTGATCCCAATGACGCTGAAATCAGGCACGCAGTAGATTTTGCCCGATCGCGTTGCATCGCCTTTTTCATCTGCCCAGGTGTATGACAGCGCATCGAACGTCGGCCCCAGCAAGAGATTGACCTCGACGAGGTCCCCACAAATGTAATCATCGAACGCTCCCGGTTGAATGACCAAGAGTCTGATCTTATGTTCGCCTGAGATTGGGGTGTATTCGTAGTGCTCTTCCCGTGGCAGAAGGTATGGGTCTACGAAGATCCGTGCCTCTGTCGCGAAAAGCCCAGTATAATAGCGCCTCGCGATAATACTCGGCGCGGACTTCTTTCGGTACGCGTAAAAGACTCGTAAAAGCTTCACTAGCAGCAGCCATATATTGTTCACGATGCATACGGGCAGTGCCCAAAAAAGATTTAGTGACGCTCCGATGTCTGATACAGCACTCCTCGCATTCTTTGAACGAGATACAACCTGACCAAGGTTCCAGAGGATGAGCCCCAGCCACACCAGAGGTAGTAAGACAAGGCCTAAAATTATGAGTGGCGTTGTCACCAGTAATTCGCTCGCACTAGGTTCATGATATCCCCCCATCTTTCTATGGCGGAGGACTCGGAAAGCCGCCTGGAGATGGCAGGAATTTAAATGGATTGATTGCTCCGCCCCAATTTAGAGAGACGGCGCTAAACCCCGCCAAAACCAAACACATTGAGGCTGCCAGGTGTCAGCTCAAGTGGATCGACCCTCGGCCATTCTGATTTGACCAATCAGAAACCACCGTTTGACAGCTGTTTTCGCGTTTCTAGCTTCGTGGTATGCACCGGCAGAAGCACCGACATATTGTGGAGGCAACCCCGTCCAAGTGCGTCCGAGGTGCAAAGCAGATGATCGCATGGAACCGTCAGTAACAAAACTCACAGATACGGAGAAGCTCGTATGCGGTGTCTGGGTTATGACAAAAAGAAAAGCACCGATACACTTTCTATCTGGATGAATATCTTTGATATGAAGTGTTTGATAGCAATATACATTAAGATATTAACGGCCAGGTATGCTTTAGAAATTAGGGCATAGTTTGCAGTCCAGCCCAAAGCGTAGGGCGGGTTTTAGAACAAAAGGGAATAAACAGTGGAATTTTATACCTTTACCGTGAGAGATACTTTGTCTACTAGGTTAGGTTTATGGAATATATAATTTGAATAACTCAAGATTAAAAACAAATTCTGTGTATTACAATATTTAGGTTATAGATTGGGACATACGCGAATACTATGTGTGGATGCCGGTTGTATAGATGTGGCTACCAGCCGCCCACCCTCCACCCCAATTTCCCTTCTTCTTTTGCGTAAACTCGCTCAATTACCATGATTCCACGAAGATATCAATAAA